TTGTGATGAGGTCACAGGTTAGCTTCTGATGTCTGTTCCATGCAGATCATGTTTGTGCAAGCAACGCTGCGCAGGTGGTGCCAGCATATGAAAAGTTCAGTCTTAGTGTTTTCTTGGTCTTCCAGGTCTAGTCTTCTTCAGTTCCCCTTCACTGCCATTTCTTAATGACATTTCAGACAGTGGAAATCACAAGCTGGAAGCGTTTTTATTTCTTTTTACAGCCTCCAGCTGCTTTGTAGGCATGAATTGGCATCAATTTCAGATCTTCAGCCTGCTGCTTAGAGGAGCCCGTGGTTGTTGAGTGTTAGCACAAGGTTTGAAAAGTCAGATAATTGTTTACACTCTGTTTTTGTCATCAGCTGACAATTCTTGAGCTGCCTGACCAGTCCTAATCAGTTAAGGCCTAACAAGTCACAAAGTTCTGAGACTTTATGGCTGGAAGGGCATCCAAAGAACTGAAAATGGTACAATTATAATTTTTTAAAAGATTAATCAAATAGAGGGTCAGATTTTTTTACAATAGCTCACTGCAGAGGTTGTATTTACTTTTCATTTTAAAAAATCAATGAAATATGTTATTTGACCAGGGGTACCCATACTTTAGCATACATTTATATGTGCTTTGTCTTTTTTCTTATGGTATTGAATGTACTCTGAAAAGGCAATATTAAAACAGAATATAGAGGCAGATATAACAGCACTTCTTCTTCAGGCAATGTCAAGGGTATTCATTAGACAAAGTTGTGTACAGATTCTCATGTCACCAGCCTTAGGCATCTCACAAGGATCTCAGGCTGGTTGAAAACAGGGTCATGTGGGTGGCTGTAATGAGGCCGACAGACAATTTGTCTTTTATTTCTTTGAGACTAACAGTGTTAAACCATTCTATCAATATTATTTACTCAGTGAAGGTATATGTGCATAAAATTTCTCGAGAATTCATACATATTTCTCAGCAAGGAGATTAGCTATGCAATCATTAAAGGAAGTATATTTACAGAGTTTTAAATCATTGTGTCTTTCTACAAACACAATTTAAGTTTAAGTTCTTGGTATGATGCATTTTGATTTCTTATTGGGTTTCACAGAACAAGACCATTTCAAAATGTATTGAAATAAGATTGTGGCACTGGACAGTGGTGAAGTTAAGCCACAGTTTAAGACTACTGCCTGCTATTATCCCCCACAGGATTTGGACCTTCTCTTTCTGTTGGTCTAATTACTGTTTTAGACTTGTGAGTTTCTGGCATCAGCCTTCATTAAATGCCTCGGAGTTGTGCTGGGCTGTGCTACAGCTGCAATCTCATAGACTACCATCAACATGACTTTTGAAAACATCTCTGTATAGAACACTGTTTGTTCACAAACATATCTCTGCTGTCATTCAAACATAGCAATTGAGCCCCTCCAACAAAAACTATATATTAATTATCCCTCCCTTTTTGAGATTATCATTTTTTTCTATTTTATTTTGTACAACTTTTTACATTAAAAAGCCAAACTGCACTTTATTTATGCTTTACTGACCCCTTTATTTTAAATACAGGGCATCAAACAGGGCCATACCATACTTTTATACATTTCTACAAAAATGTCACATAGATTGTTTTTCATTGCAAAGATTAATTAATCTTTGCTCGATTAATCTTTATTTTGTACAAACATTGCTTGATGAATGGACAAATAGAAATACTCCACAGTGACTTTTAAATCTTTTACATTAACGTTTATGCCTTCTCCTGTAAAGTTAACATTTTTGACATAGATTTTTTTTGACAGCACTTTGACATTGTTACCTAAGTTTTATGTTTATGTGTTAGGAAGCTATAGTTGCAATCCTAGTCTTAGTCACAGGTTTTTATCTCTAAGCCAGATTGCTGCCTCACTGAAACTTATGGGAGCACAACTGGCTTTTAAGAAGTCACACGAGAGCAATTTCCTATCTGGATCAGTTAGTTTATAGTGAGTTGTTCTTGAGGTCTGGACTAAATGGGCCAAAGGATCCCTTTCTGATAGATTGTCTTGAGCTCTGTTGCACATAATGCTGTGTATGAACCTTCAGTTCTCAAGGATCCTAGACCATGCATTGCCATTTGTTAACTTTAGTGCCCAAGTCTTCACATTTCAGATGCACTGCACCTGGTGAGTATTAAAAGGTAATGCTTTTGAGAAATCATCCTGCTTTTCAACCGAAGAGAGGACCTCGACATTAGTTTGCAGAACATCTGAACTTTCACAATGTAATGAGTTAATTAGAGTTCATTAAGATCATCTCAGAATTGCACTATTATGCCAGTGCATGTTGTCCACAAAGAGGGTTGGAAGATGCTTGCCTGGCATGGTGTTGAACTGTTTATGTAATCTCACTACCCCTCACCCCTAACACCCACTCCTCCCCGTCCTCTCGTCACACTCGCTCAAGTTTAAACCTCTTCCCCCTCTCCTCCCCTCCCTCAGTGAAGGGAGGAACACTGAAGGCCTTTTACTGGTCCAGGCTTGGAACTCCGGGAGTGGTGCCGACTATGGAGGGACCGCGTCAATCCCCCCTGAGCCATTTCCTGTCTTAGCCCTCCCATCTAATACCAAACAGACCTCTCCTTCTGCACGGGTTCCCCTTACAACCTCGCCAGCAGGCATGCAGGAACTCTTTCCATATTCACCAAAAACAGCAGCAGCATCAGAGAGAAGATCAGCATGGAGCACATTCTCTGTATATGATAACAGATGCACAGGATCTTGGTGAGTAGAGAGTATATTTATGTGCTGCAAAGTGTTCTCAACTCTGTAGAACTGTCTGTCAAAGACTGTTCTACAGAGTTGAGAACACATGTTCCACACAAAGTGTCTTGAGGATTCTATGTGGGTTCTTTACTAGAGACAGAGAGACTGGCTGGCAGACACGTTCTTCTTTATGTAAGAGGTTTTGGGCTGTACCTGCAGGGAGATGTCTTCTTCGGGTGTATGTTTTTAATAAATAGCTTTGAAGAGCCAGGAATCCTCCAGTATACTAATGGGTGTTGGAGCACATGTCTTCGTAACTCCCACATCACTCTCAGTGGAGCTGAAATTTCGGAGTCAGTTGAGGTAAGCCGTGAGAGCTCTGCAGAGCATGTGTTTACATTCTGAAATTCTCATGTGTTCTTGATTGAATAGAGCAACACAAATTCCTTCCAAGAATCTCCTCCTGCTATTTATTTCAGCATATGACATTTTTGTTCAGATTACTAATCCAGTGGTGTTAGATGACTTTCTTTGCTAGCCTAGTACACCCAGTCTTTCCTGAGTCAAGTTGGCAGCTGATGCTTGGCAGAAGCAATTTTCCTTGTCAATTATCAGATTAGTGGTGGGCTTGAGAAATAGTTACTGCTGTACTAGAAACCACCCTCAATTAAAGCAATCAAGGAGCGTGTGTTCTGGATTGCACTAAGCAGGGAACGTCTGGTGGGTTTAAGCATGTGCCCAGTGATTAACCTTGTGTCCATCTATTCAAGTGCTTTAGCTGCAATCTCTGTTAATGTACTGTAAGCCTTTGAGAATACAGAGAATGTGTGATATAGTACATTTCTGAGTATTTCTTCTGCCACACATATTATTCTTTTATTTAAGAGGCGCTCTATCTGACAATGCATCATGCTACCCGTTTGTAAGTGTTAGCTGAGGGCCAAATGCACTTCTGATATCTTTACACCTGTTAGCTTTTATTACCTCATTTCGCCTTGGGTTTTGGACAAGTGCTGTCTTGTCTAAGACATTCTATCACCTCCTCTGCTCATTATAGCTTTTAGAGCTATTTCTTATGGAGACAGACATGCAGTCTTCAAACAGAATGTTCTTCTTTTTATCTCCATCCTTTTAAAAACCACTTTCTGATGATGAATGCTCATCAACGCGTTCAACTGCTGAGTCTTAGTGTAAGGAATGCTCAGGCACTCATTCTGTTGCGCTAAAAGGGTGCATTGGGTTTATGCTGTACGGGTCCAGATAAGTCAGCCCTGACAGCCCCCCGCATCCCCCAGCCTCTCTCCTTTCTCCCTCACCTTATGCTCCCCTCTAGTTTTGGGAGAGTAAATCAGCCTTGGGGACAGGTGGACATCTGCCAGCCCCATGAGTAGTTTCAGCCCACAATGCCACGGGGAGCTGAGCAGTCCAGAAAAACAGTTCTCCAAGTTTTCATTTCTTTTAGCCCTCCAAGTCCATGGCTCTTCTTTCCTCTGCTCTGGCCCATCACTAAGAGTACTGAGGGGAAGTTGGAGTTATTCCTTGTGCTCGTTTCTTCATTTTTTTGTCTCTGATTGGAAGACTGAAGAACAGGGAACATAAAGTTTTGATGGAGAATTCAGAGTGTTTGAGTTGGAGCGTTCTGTTAATCCCTTAACATATTTTTTCAGTTTTAACCAAGAAATGCACGTGACTTTGCCACGTGAGCATTCAGATCTTGTTGTTATTTTTATACAAAGTAATGTCCACTTTTTCATTTTTCTTAATGTTTCTTAGCGTTTACAAACATATCTTCACAAGTGATTTCCCACAACCAGCAGTGGCCGTCATGGGAGCCCTCCGGATGCTTAAAATGGATCTTAGTCCTTGATAATCTTGGCAGCCTCTGTAGATGCTCTTACATTAAGGGGGTCTCCTAAAGTGGTTGTCCTAGTCAATTGAAATGGAAGCGACTACGGAGAAGGGATTACTCATGCAATGAAGCTGGCTACATCAGACAAGATGGAAGAATTAGTAGGCTCTTTTTCTCAGAAACACGATCAGATCACAGAGGGGTACTAGAAAGTCTTAGCTGATTAAGTAGGTTTTCAGCCTGAAAATCTAGGCGCAAAGTTAAATGCTTTAATTTTCAGTGTGATGGAACATGGCAGTCATTGATAGAATATAGTATAAAGATACTGTATTTGCTTCCTGAAAGAATATCCTATTAATTAAAGTCTTTCTTATCTTCATAAGGATTGGTTGTTGGTTTCAGAGCCATCTTTTCTGGTCCAAGTCCAATGTTTTATCCTTACTTTTTAATGTTATTTATATATTTCACTTGTTGTTGCTCTAATTTGATTCTGGTTCATGCAGATATCCTTTCAAGCACATACAAACAACAAAGGCACTGTCTGTGTTTTTCATTAGACTTCAAAGTGAACACACCCATTTCAGTCAATGCTTCAGTCAGTGGCTATTTCTTTCCCTTGTACTGTCATGTTTTATTCAGTGTGGAAAATCTTAGTTAATTGGTTTCGGGCTGACTTTTCCTCACTGTTTCCTTAACAACACGGGAAAGACTCCCCCTCCCTTCTTTCCTTTCCCCCCTCTTCCCAAACCCAGCCCATTTTAGGCTGTTCCTCCTTTTTTTCCCCCTCTCCCGTTTGCTGCCTCACTGAGAGGGCTGTGTGACAACGCTTCCTGCTGTTTGTAAAGCACGGTTTGGAAGCAGAGAAGTCTGTTACGCTGTAGCTGCTGGAGGAAGTCACCACCTCTTTCCTGGGCTCTTGAAGTACAATCAAACACTTTTAGTACGGTACTTGCATAGTGCTGAGAAGACCGTGAACTGTGTGACTATCTGTGAGTGTATCCAACAGCAGTGGCTGCTTACAGTTTAATGAAACTCTGCTGTTTTGAGTTGAATGATATATGTGTGGAATCAAATCTGGACCTCAGAAAGTTTCTCAACAATGTTCTATGAACACAACCTTGACGTTATTCTGTGGTGAGTACAAATCATGCACCTACGTTTGATGCTGGTTTTGAATATGTTACAGTGTATAAGTAGTGTGAAAGACTGTAATGTCGGATAAATGTTACATGCTTTTTCTAAACTTATTTGTGGAAAAATATCATAATGGTCAAGTGCTGTGGACACATTCCTCTACATTCATTAAATTACATGCTGTAGAGGTCTGGCAATAGGATACATATATATGAGGAGAACTCTTATTTGTTCAGACAAGCCAGTGATTACAGCATTTTTATTCATGCTGTAGTTACTTATTCTAGGCACAGGATACAAAATTATCGACTTTATCACTGCACCTCATCAGAACTGGTAGAAACAGAAAGAAAAATGTAATTTTTATGTTTTTCCCCCTTACCAAGTCAGAGCCAAGAATATCCAGGCTCATTAAAGTTATGCTGTTAAAAACCTGTTGAAATTTTACGAACAGCGAAAAACAAACCTCCTGCCCTCCTAGAATTCATCTACTAAAAGAGTCAATAATAAGGTAACATAATCTGGAGAGCTGAGGTCAGGGCTTCACGCTTTGAAAATGTGCATCCCCTACTTAGTATCATATAGCGGTTGCCTGTTCATGGGCCAAGTCAGAGCACCTCCTCCCCTATGCTTTTTATTTATAATTGACATTTTCATTCATCAGTCTCTGTCTTTAAAAACTCCAAGCCAGATTGGGTGTTGTTTCATCTGATTGAGTGCCCATGTTTATTTTGACATGTTATGCTTGTCTGATTAATTGCATGATAGAAAGACAAGATAAGCGCTACATCTGCTTTTTGTTTTGCAATGGATGACTTAGAACCAGCCCTATTCCCTAAAAAGCACCCTTAGCGTAACCCCTACGCCAGTGTCATTCACAGTGCCTACCTTATCTCCTGTCTTCTGTGCTGGTAGTTAACATTCTCTATGGATTTAGGTGGGCCAGAGGTCAATCCTTCTTCTTTAACTGCTTGTGTAAATATACAAACATAGCATATACACACACAAGATGTTTGTGTTGTCAGACATGATGAGCTCCTGCACCAGCAGAGACCAAGACATCTGTAGAGTCTCGTTTGACTCCAAACTGTCTGTTTCTCAGTATGCATTAGACCACTCCTTCACTCTGTCTTATCAACATTTGATTGATTTAGTGTGACCTTAGGCCCTGACCCTCTTCCCCTGAGTTATTTCTGAGGCTGAAAGAGTATGTGCTTTCTGACACGTCCCAAACATTTTTCCTTACGCTCCCTCTTTCCATTATGAGTGAATATCTAGATAGCTAAAATGTGAGTTATGTACTGCATGTGCATATCTCCCAGAGCAGGGCAGAGTTAATGATACCCACCCACATGTTTTTTGCCTCATACAGTAATATGAAGTTCTGCATAATAGATCCAGTACGTGTTCTGTGGGTCTACAGGGGCCCACTGGCTCAGATCAACCTATGGATGAGATCATGCTCTATCTGTGGAGCTTGAGAGCAGGGATCACCTGGAGGTTACCTTGCTCTCGTACTCATGCTGCACTTAAGTGCAAGACCTCAGCTTTTGAAAGTAATCTTGTTAATGCTCTTAGCCGTTAGCAGTATGTGTAATGCACAAAAAAGTGCACAAGAAAATATTTATGTAGCTGATGGAAAAGCTTAAATCACTCTAGGTCATATTTGGATAACAAATCTCCATAGGGCTGTAAAAACTCTGGAATTCTAAGGGAATAGAATAGTGAACTGTGACGGATGACTTGATGTCTTTAGCGATCCCCATGGAAGGAGATGTGGGTGGGTGTTCTTGTGAGTTTGGATGGGATTATGATCCTGGAGCAGTCATGGGGCAGAAGATATTGAAGTATGAGTTGAATGATTAGGCACATTGTGATTAGGCACATGGGCCTCATGGGATAATGTTTCTCCTCAGGATGAACACAGAAAGCACAGGGGCTCTGCCTCCCACCAAATACACACCTGGGCCATATTAACCCTTAACCCCACAACTTAGCCTTTATCTCAACGACCGTCTTCTATAGCCACAACAACACTGCTACTACTACCACCCCAGTGGAAGATAACTGGACCTTATGCTGCATTTACATTACAGTGTATTTCAGATTGTTGAAATGTGGCACAGAGCATTTTGTCATGTGTCACATTCAAATTCAAATTACACACAGAAATCATTTTGGAGAAGACAGAGAAGTTGTTAGCAGAAGGTTTTTAGAGTGGTTGACATATTTATGCATAACAATAATAGGCCTTTTCCAAACTGCATTTCATCAGAGCTTAGAACTAGCCAAAAACTCTGCATTCATTTTTACTCTGGAAAGCCAAACAAAATGTGCATTTTAGTGATATGATCACAGAGTGGCCAACAGTTGGTGAAGCAAGAGATTTGCTTCTATTATCAGTCCTTCACTGATAATAGGCTGTTGTGGGCAGGTGACATATGATTTGTTATTCACATTCTTAAAATACAAGTCAGAAAAGCTCTCAATTACTGCACAATTACTTACGGTAGTGCCTTCGATCCAACTTTATTGCTCCATAGTTCATGAACAGCATTTAAAGGTTATGGGGAATGGGTAATTAAAATGAAAAAAGTTATGAGATTGTTGGCCATTTAAGGGGTTTTCATATTAACCTATTTACTATATAGTATAGCATTTCTGTTATATCAAAACCTCATAACTCTTTTTTTTATGTTTTTTTTTTTTTTTACAGAATTTTAAAGGGTCAACTGAACTTTACATTTTGTTAGTGTTTCATGATGGATGGGCTAGAAGTGGTCAAAACTAAAATAAAAACGTTTTGTTAACATACATTGAAATTAAGTATGCTATCCTTCTATAAAAATACTGTTTTGAGAAATATATATTGAATAATATCAAAATATATTTGATATTAGACTGCCTGGGGTATTTAATTAATGGAAACTAACTTCAAGAAAGAGACAATAATCCACAACTTTCTGCAAGTAAAACCACACTTTTCAGAGTATATGAAAACATGGGATTGTAGCAGTTAAGTCTCTGTTCCCCCAGCTGGCACACAGTTTCATGGTCAGCTCCACCTTATGTGTAAGGTCAAGGATCTGATGGAAGCCACATGTCTGACTTTCGTCCAAGTGAAATATCACCCTTATGAAAGAGCCACTGGCAGAGCACGCACCAGGGGAACAAGTGCAAACGCTGGGCGCAGTGTGATCTGTGAGCTCTCCAATGAAGAGTAGCAAGGAAGAAAGACGCTTCTCTATGAAATGCCCTTACAAGATCCAGAGCTGTAAAAGAGCTCAACTGAAAATCACAGAGTAAATGCCTTTGCCATGGATGCTGAATGCTTTTGCAGGCAAGGCTGCCTGTACCTCCGCTCCAGAAATGTGTCTGAGTTTATCGGGTGGAAAGTAACCCTCAGCACCTCTGTGGTTTCAGGGAAAATCTTGAACTTCCATTAGGCTGCCACTTTCATTTTGACTAGAGTGCTTCTGGACTTTGTTGGTGTTCAGGTGATCTTGATTGGCTCGTGTGAGCCATCAGAGACTACATGCTGGCGTACATTCTGTACTGTCAGCATTTCTGCCAAATGTTATGGGAAAAACAGAAAAAATACAAGATCACAAGTCATAGTACTCTAAGGACAAACCATTAGTAATAAACAAAGTGTTCAGTTGTAATTATTAAGTTGCTATTCATGGCAGATTTTAACAAGTCCAAGCACCTAACGTTTTTAAGGTGACCGCTGTTAAGCTTGTGCTACTGGTCACACATGCCTGCAGTAGAGTAAGGAAGCAAGAATTGGCGCAAAAATAAAATGCAATAAACTTTAAGATTTAAAAGACACGTCAGCTATCAGATCCTATTCCAAGAATGCCTCAAATGTTGCAATCACTGCGCCAAAAAAATCCTGCAGTGGTTGCAAGTTGCAAGGTGATTTTTTTATGTATCAGACACATCCATCTGCTTCTCTTGGCTGGCAATGAGTTTTTTTTCTCCCTTATTCTGGAATTCAATTATAGCCCTAACTCACTGGGTAAATTCCACATATCCACCGTTATTATGTTTTGCAATGCTTCGTGAGAGTTGTGTGGTCAAATTGTTTATGAATGATTTGTCCCTTGTGCTCCAGCTTCAGAAGAAGAGAAGCTACTGTCCTGTGGTTTCCAGGAGGGAGGCTTGCTTTAAAAGTTGGCCTCATTCACTTTTTATGGCTAACAAATCATCTACTTAACTTCCATATGCTTACAGACAGCTTAATAAGCAACTGAGGATCCCAACGTCTAAAGAAGAGTGAATAAAAGACAAATACAGTTGGGGTTACTTTTGGCTTATTTTGAGTCCTAAACAGAAGTAAATCCGGAGGAAGGATATGCTATTGTGGTCTTCTTATTGTGGACAGGAACAGAAACATCACCTGATATGACAGGCCCTGGACTTCCCCTGCTGCTTCTCCTCTCAAACACAAAGCAAACAACCCTGCATCCAAAATAGAGACCAGCCTTTTCCCAGCCTCATGTGGGGTTTGTCTTGGCAGGAATTTGAATTGTGATAGTGCCCTGGTCTCCGCTGGTCAAAACTGAAATAGAACTTTTTTATGTTGTTTTTAAAGATATTCCTAGTAAGTGTGATGCATAATTCAAAATAGATGTTAAAAACACTTACATCTCAATTATTTAACACTAATGAACGCATTGTCTGTAGTTGAATCCCCAGTTGCGAGAGTACATCAAGCATATTCCTCACTGTCTTTAAGAATTTAAAATAGACTGATGGGCAGAGTTAGGCAACACCTCTAGCACCAGAGCAAAAGAATGTGCTTACATCTCCTAGCTTTTGTCAAAGCTTGTGGCAACATCTGCTGTGGAAAATGAGGTCATATCCAGAAAAATGCACAACTTCACTTGAGTCACAGAGCTGAAGGTTGGACAGCAGGGGGTCTGTTAATAATTTCCTCCCCAGGGAAAAAACAAAACACAAACACAACAACAGAGCAGGTTAATGAGTGTTTACATAGGCTTTAAACAAGTCTCCAACTGCCATTATCTTTCATTTACAGATGCCTAAGCACTGACTAGTATTAGGCAATACAATATTACCTGGATTAATAGAGCTACCAATGCTGAATAAGACATTTTTGTTATAATAATGGAAAAATGAGTCACGGATTCTAACAGAGACACGTTCTATTGGTAAGTGGTTGTAAAAGTTAGGTGGGAGTTTTGCGATCTGCAGTGCTGGTAGTGAGGCTCTGAACAGCAAGATGAAAAAAGAAGGAAGAAAAATACAATGATAAACTAATAGAAAATTATATAGCAAAGATTTTTATTACCAATTTTTTAATGGCTGCTGCACTTTACAATCAGTGAATGTTTCATTATGAGTGGACCAATAAAAATTTACCCAAAATTAGTTCATAAAATGTTACATTAACATACCTAAAAGATTTTTTTTTATTTATGAGGTTTTGATATAACAACAATATATTTTTATGATTTGGGTTTAGTAAGCTATAGTAAATCAAACAGATAGAAGTCCACCGATAGGATGCACTTGGATCCTCTTTTTTTTTGCACTTCCAGCATTGTCACAGTCCCTCTCTTCCCCATGTGTTTTCATGGACCTATGGTGGTAAGTGCTGCAGTGGTGACCTCTGGCTCAGGCGTCCACACAGGGATTCGGAGCAAAGGGCCTGCCAGAAGTCAGCAAGATTCAAATCTGCACAGGACAGTGAAAGAGCTCTGCTAAACCAACTTATCCTGGCAGCTACCACGGAGGCCCTGAAAGAGAATTCCCTCTGTGGTGCATTCTTCAGAGAACTATGATTTGAGATTCTGTCCAGGTTTCTGGTAACTGAGCAGCAGTTCAGAGGCACTGTTTTTGAAGCACTTCTGTTAATTGTGCCAAAGCTGCAGCTCTTTGATAGACACTACTAATAATTCTATGAGTTAGACGGAACCCAGTGAGTCTCCATTTACTGTAATCTTTGTTTGGGGTCTGACATAATCATGCATCAAGCCTTAACTTAACTTTACATTCATATGCCTGGAGCAGAATAATGTGATTGAGCCTGTAACAAACTCAGTCTGAATCACTAGTGTAAGTTTATTCAGCCTTATCCTGACCTCCTGTGTCCACAGCTCCAGCACTGTGCCTGTCATTTGTTTGCATTGCAGATGCCTCACTGCATTTGGATGTGATGTGGTCTGACATCTGTGTGTGCATGTTTGCTCTTATCTTTGATCAGCCAAAGGACTGAGCCAGTCAAAGGCTAGAGGGGCAGATCCAGACAGTGTGAAAGGCCAAGTTCACCGAAAGCTGCCAATGAATCGTGTACACACTCTGAAGGCTCATTTTTGAATGGTAAGCAGTATGCTTCATTTTGACTTATGTGTTTTCTATGATAAAACAAACAAGTTGATATTGCATTAATAAAATTATAGCATGTTTGGTTGTCTTAATAAAAAGCCCTACCACTGCAAACATGCAATAGTGGATTAACATGACACCTAACCTAAATCTACTAAAATTTTCTTTCTGAGCAGGTTAATCTTGCTCTTGTGGACACAGAGTATACATAGTCCACTGACTACCTGATGTATTTCACCAAAGTCTCCTCTTTCAAAGTAAACTGAGTAGTCCTAATCTTGGGTAGTGTTTACATAAGCAGTACCCTCACCAATCGCAAGGATGATGTGGCTCCTCCCACACACACAACTTTAATAAAAACTTTAACAAAACTGTGCTCCCCTGCACTTGTCAGTGAAACTTACTGAGAGAAAGTTAAAAGCAGAGTGAAAGCTAACCTTGCAAGCATAACTGACCTATCAGACTAGCTTATCTGTCTGCCTTTAGTCCATCTGTTCAACCGTCTGTTCGTCCATCCATCCGTCTATTCATGCATTTGTGCATTCAAGGAATGCCACGCCAGCATTCCATGGATGCACATCCAGCAGAAAAGTGAAAAAGAACCTTACCTTTCTTAAGATATTGCAATATAAAAGCTGGATAATGTTTGTTGTGCATCTTCAACACCATCTGCATATCGCTGTTGTCAGAACACAACCTTGATCTCCATTTTACAGTTTTTGACATTATTTGAAAATGCCTATTTCCCTATTGTGTAAATCTCATGATGAATGGACCAAAAGAAATGGTCCAAAATTGCATGGAAGAAAGTCTGGTTCCACTGATTTACATTAAAAGTAAATTAAGGTTTTTCCTTCTCCTGTAAAGTTACCATTTTTGAGGTTTTTTGGAGGTACCGTATAAGGTTTTGTTCCAACCACAACAATATGTAGAGCTTTGCGTCTTCTCTGGCCGCTTCTGCTTCAGTGCCTCAGACTGGAAACCTAGGACTGAGGGATTACAGTCACAGTTGATTATCAGCATATTAAGACCATGCCCAGAGTGTTCTCAAAAAGGTCTGATCAGTGGTTTTTAAGCCATGTTTTATTATTTCTCTATCATGTTTTTCCATTCAAACTTGCTGAATGATTGTTAAAATAATTTTAGTATCATACAAACACTTTTAACATTTCACACTGTTTCCCATAGGACTTTAAATATTATAGTTTTAATGAGGGAGTCCTCTACTAAACTCACTAATGCTTTCTGGCTACCCACTGCAATGATGTCATATGTTGAGAACAATAGTGAGTGTGGTAAGAGAGGCCAAAGTCAGCAGGAAGCACTACGTGACGCTGATGGATGGGAGAGGGTGAGGTGGGTTGGGGGGTGGGGGATACAGGAAATCTGGTAAGGCCCAGCAAGGAGAGTCCTTGATATCCCCCTATCAAAGGCTCTGCCAGCAAGAGCACATGACCTGAAGCTATTGCATTTTCCTGTGATGCAGTCTTCCTCCCAGCGTTCTCAGATTGGAAGCAGGATTCCCATTGCAGAGCTGGGAAAGGAATGAGGACATGTTGACTCCATTAAGCAAAAACCATCCCCAGCCACTCACCCACTCATACAGTTGTTTTTTTCTCTCTCAAGTAGGAAACATGAGACTTCCTAGGGAGTTTACAGTAAGATGGATACTGACTCATTGTCTGGATGCGATAGAATAAAATACAATGGACACAAACAATACTTCCAGGGATATGTGACTGAGGATGAGCCATCTGATTGCCAGCAAAGATAGAGATTCATCCGGCAAACAAGCATTTGTCCACTACCGAACAAGCACTTGTCTGCCAGACTCCGGTCTTCATGGAAATTTGTAGAGGAAGTGGGCTTCCTTGGCTAATGTGTGAAAGTGACCCCAAGACCTCACAAAAGAGGCTACCATGTGCCAGTGGCTCTGTATAATTGCTCAGTGAGAAGCATCCAAACTGACACAGAGTCACTTTTGTCTCCAACTGGCTAAGCCACTACTTCCACACCCACAAACATATGGGGATGTGTTTGGAGCGCAGAGTTTAGTGCATAGTAGAACATGGTATGTGGCTCTTTTGGCCCTAATAAACGGTTAAATAGCCTTGTCCAGGGCAGGGCTGCACTTCAAATGTGGAAGTGCATTTGTGTTTTGTTTCTTGTGCTTGTCTGTCACGTTCAATATGCCTGCTGTGAAAATGTATTAAACAGAATAAAAGATACATCTTTCTAATCGATATGTTGCCTCAGCAGGTGTGAAAACAGGATGGATGTAAAACGGAAAGAGATGGACCTTTTGAGTAACACCATTGCTGCTTATGCTCATATAAAAGGTTAGTACTTTTAAAGCTACTGACTCTTTAGAAATTAAGGATTTTTAATAGGTCATGTATTTTCAATCATATTTCTCAGTTGTATTCAATCACTGGTAAGAATACGCATACATTTCTGAAAGCCTGTTGCCTGTAGCCTGTTCTCATGTAGTCTTTGCAAGAAAGGTTCCAAACAGTACCAAAAAAGGTCTTTAGGTTATCTGAGTTGCATTCAATGGTTATTTGATTAACATGCTTTTACCAAAGGATCCTTGAAGAACCACTTTTTAAAAGGGTGACTTTTTGTGTTTTTTATTTTATTTTTTATTTTACAAAAAAGAGCATTACAAAGTCTCTACCAAGTTGCACTTTCTCTTTCTCTCTTGTATCTCCGTTCTTTGACACTTTTTAGTTACATCCATGTTCTGGCACTAACTACACTGGCTGCTCTATCTGCGCTAACTGCACTGACTGTACTGGCTGAGCTGACTGTGCTAACTGCACTGACTGCATTGGCTGAGCTGACTGCACTAATTACTTTGGTTCCAATGGCTGCACTGACTACTGTGACTGCTGTGACTGCTGTGACTGCTCTGACTGCTGTGACTGCTGTGACTGCTCTGACTGCTGTGACTGCTCTGACTGCTGTGACTGCTGTGACTGCTCTGACTGCTGTGACTGCTGTGACTGCTGTGACTGCTGTGACTGCTGTGACTGCTGTGACTGCTCTGACTGCTGTGACTGCTGTGACTGCTCTGACTGCTGTGACTGCTCTGACTGGTGTGACTGCTGTGACTGCTCTGACTGCTGTGACTGCTGTGACTGCTCTGACTCCTGTAACTGCTCTGACTGCTGTGACTGCTGCTGCTCGTACTGCTGTGACTGCTCTGACTCCTGTAACTGCTCTGACTGCTGTGACTGCTGTGACTCCTGTGACTGCTCTGACTGCTGTGACTCCTGTAACTGCTCTGACTGCTGTGACTGCTCTGACTGCTGTGACTCCTGTGACTGCTGTGACTGCTCTGACTGCTGTGACTGCTCTGACTGCTGTGACTCCTGTGACTGCTGTGACTGCTCTGACTGCTGTGACTGCTGTGACTGCGGTGACTGCTGTGACTACTGTGACTGCTGTGACTGCAGTGACTGCTTTGACTACACTGGTTGTTCTGACTTCATTGACTGCACTGAATGTGCAGACGGCATTGACCACTTTGACAACACTGACTACACTGGCTATGCTGGCTGTACTGACTGCACTGACAAGACTGGCATTAAGAAGCTATCAAAACTGACCTTCTTCATTTTAAATGAAACTTGTTACAAAAATGTAGTAGGTCTAAATTTTTAGCCCACATAAAATTGATTAAAATTTGAATTGGTTATTGATGTGAAAGACATCAAAATAAGTTAAAGTCTTTGTGCATGGAGCTAGCAATTCTGCTTTATTTCTGCACTACTGTAATGTTTTGTTGAAAATACTGTACTATGTGTAAGTCACCCTTCATTTATTTAATTTCCAGTCAAAATGGAAAACAAAAAAGTTATTAAAAAGCAGAAAACATATAATGTCATTTCTCTCAGTATTTAGTGTGTTCTTCTATTCAGCTTCTATTTTTTGCTGGACACTTGCTTTCAGTTTGTCAAAGAAATCGCAGGGATATTTTTCACACCTCCATTTTGCACTTAATGGCCATTTTGACTGGAAATATATGTAAAGTCCTGCAGTTGTTTCAAATATCGTTTTAGCATATTTAGTGTGTATCGAGTTTTGAAAAAAAACAAAAACTCTTCAAAGTTTGCTTTTTTGTCTTGTTTTATCTGCTGATTCAGAGATGCTGCAAGCTCAGCTGTATCTCTATGGTTTTACATTTCAGCTAACCCAGAGAGCTTTGGCCTCTATTTTGTCATTGGTGTGTGCTTTGGTCTGGTGCTCACATTATGCCTGCTGGTCATCCGAATCTCATGCAAGCCTAGGACCAAGACTGCACCCTCCACTCCAGAGAAAAAACAACTGAAGGACTTCAGTGAGGATGAGGAAGATGAAGACAGTGAAGAGGAAGAAGAGGATGAGGAAGATGCTGGGGATGTGGAGGGTCCTATCCCTCCCAGCACCACAGAAATCACCATGAGTAATCACCACAGCACGTCGGACGGGAATGTAAATGTGTTCACTTCAGCGGAGGAACTTGAACGAGCACAGAGGCTGGAGGAGAGGGAGAGGATCATCAGGGAGATCTGGAGAAATGGACAACCAGACATACTGGGCACGGGGACTGGCACCATAGGAAGGGTGCATTACTATTAGCTCTCAGTATTATTGGATGTGGTCTAAAGCCATACCTAGTGGCTTAGCACAAGACTTTGAAGGACAATGTAAAAAAAAAACAGAAGGTGCACTCTTAACGTCAAGCAACCTCTTTGTAAGGCGCACTTTTTGTTCTTTAAACTTGGACCAATGTAACTCCAGTGCTTTAGTTCACAAGTACAACTGTAGCATGCATACTGCACAGGAGCATGATTTGGTGCTATATGTTACATTGAGAACTGCACAGATGTTGAGGGATGGTAGTGGAAATCGCTGTTTTTGTTGCCATAATGAAAAGCACAGAGTCACACTCCCCCTCAGGTTCATTCAGGCTAGTCTCACAGGGCCAGACGTGATCTAGTAATAAGAACTTCTGTGGACAACCATGAGAATTAGATTGGGAACAAACTAAGTGTGAAATTTTCTTAACCAATCTAACTGAAGGCCAAGCTTAACGTAGGGGGTGATGATGCACTTATCAACACTGTCAGATGGAAAGCAAGCCTGTCACTAGCACATGGATGTAATGTTAGCATGGGGTGAAAAGTCTCCCCATAAACTTGTATGTGGATGTGTGTTGCGTATGCGGAGAACACGTTACATGAGGTCAAAATAAGCGTAACCTCTTGCAAGGGAAAACCAGTTCAATGAAAACAGACTATACCTTAGCTTTAGACAATATTACTGGTGTAGTTGTGGCAGCCTGGAGGTTAGGGAACAAGCCTTGTGACCGGAAGGTCGACGGTTTAATCCCCAGAGCCGACAGTGCGTGACTGAGGTGGCCTTGAGCAAGGCACCTAACCCCCATCTGCTCCCCGAGTGCCATGGATAGGGCTGCCCACTGCTCCGTGTGCTCATTGCCCCTAGTGTGTATGTTCAGTAGTCAGCATGTGTAGTTTCACTGCATGGATGGGTTAGAATGCGGAGCTGAAATTTCCCTGTTGTGGGACTAATAAGGGTCACTTTATCTAATTAATCTAGTACTAAAAGTTTGGCCCTGCAGTTCAGTTGACGAAACTAAATTGAGACATGTTTCTCAAACATTAACTTTGAAGAATGAATGTTAGCTGATGACAGCATTTCCCTGGCTAGCTTGTTTTGCTTGTGCAATGGATCATAATCTAGATGAGGAGAAAAAAATGGACTAGAGGGCAGGTTTTAGGGGGGCTGTACCCTTGTTTGCAGTGGATTTCACCACAACCCAGCAACATGCACGCTTGTTTCGAGATCATGTCTGGCCCTGTAGACTACATTCAGGCTTGAGGATTGAGGCTTGACTGTATTGTACAAAGATGTTGTTTGTAATTTCTAGATGATTCCAAGACTGTGCTCAGTCATTTGCACTTTTCCACTATTCCATCTAAATCCTGATTTTTTTTTAATGTTTAAATTGTATCTTTAAATTTTTTCTTTGCGTGTAGGTGCTATATAACATATGAAGAAGTATATGAATCATTTCTTGTATATTTCATCTACTTCACACCACCAAGGCACTAACATTTTTTGTTGTTCACTTCATTTGATGTGATAATTCAGAATGTTTAAGTAAACGTTTTACGTAGGCCAAAATCAAGCACTTCTTTTTCATTAGAAATGGACCAATGAACACTCTTAACACTCTTAGAAGTTGTACTAATGAGAGTGTTAAGAACACTCTTAATAGTACAGTGCAGTAAAAAAAGCCTAAAGACTTTCTGAACTCTCCCAAAACAAGCAGGAACTGAAAATGGCTGCCTTACAGGCCTGACAGAGTATCACCATGGAAGGTATGGAGAGTCTGGAGATGTCTGTTGGTCTATGAATTTTCAACAAATTATAAATTATGACGATTTTATTTTTAATAAGGTTAATTTGTCCAAAGGGCTATAGAAGGGCTATGATTCCGACAAGGTTCATCTGACATAGATGTGAATACCAAGTTGCAGCTCACATTAGACATTATTTAATGTCAAATATCACTGTAGTCGGCAGCAGCAATATGTTGCCGTACAGAACCAAACCAACAAAAACTGCCACTGTCCAATTACTTACAGATAATTTTGTGTGATTCTGCTCCTTTTCCTCCACTGAGGAACAATTCATTAGTAAGAACAGGGATGAAAATGACCATTTTCACATATGTTTAAACTTCTTCTTATAAGACTGTCTCTTGCTGGAGTGCTACTGTATCTTGTTGCTCTGTTGGAATAATCCTTTTCATATTTTCAGTATGACTGTCTTTTAATTTGACTGCAAAGTAAAACATTTGTTTGGTTTTCAGGTCTTTGTTGCTTGCTTTCTAATTTGACTATTAGACCACTTGGCTTCATGGTATATACAAACTTATTTAGTTTATTTAGTCACTGTACTATTGTAAGACTGTCATGCAGATAAGCCGGGTGATTGAAATATGCTAATGACTCTACATTTTTTGGCAGGAGACTTTGGACACATTTACAATTGCAATTAATGACTCTGTCAGCTTTTACTTTTATGACTGGGTACTTTGTCTTTTGTTAAACAGTTGCAGTCTTTGTTGAAAAATGATTTTGGTGAAGTTGTGAAAATAAATTTCAGAGTGATTTGCAGAGCTCTGGGGGAAAACGTCTGTGTCCGCTGGAAAAAATGTGACCTTTTTAAAGCAAATAGAGGCATCATTAGCATTGATTGTATGTGTAGTGCAATTAGAAGGCCATGTGTATTTGTTTAATTCCTGAGAGTTGGAAGGAATTTCTGTTGTTGTTAAAAATAACCCTATTGCTTAGTCACAGGCTGGTGTGTTTTAATGAGCACATGTTCTCCAGATGAGGTCCTTGGGCTGAAATTCAGTGCAGGCAAAACATATCACAACCCATCACACTGGATCAGTTGAAGGCTCCTTCCACTTACTGCCCAATTCTACAGATGATTTTCTTGTATTTCTTTCAACCACAGCTGACCAGATATCATTTGAGTTTGTTATGAAGTGTAAAGTTAGACTTTTTTCTGACTGTCCCTCCAGAAAAGAGGCCAGAGGACTCTTCATATTGCCCCAGGAATAAAATTTAGTATGATTTTCATAATAAAGACACAAAGCTGGGCAAAATTATGCAACATGTTTAGGCAACATGCGAGAATCATGAGATGAGAACCAACTAAATACTGAATGCCATTGCTTTGTTGATATGGTCATTTTTCTTAATGTTTCTATAATAACAACAGTAATAATAATAATAATAATAATAATAATAATAACAATAATGACAACAACAATAATCATAATAATATATAGCTCTGTTTATCATTCTGAATACATCCAACATTTTGTGATTTGTTTTGCATCTTCATACTGATTAGTTGAAACGTGATGTAAACAATAAAGTTGCATCATAACAATAATTTTATACATGTATCTTCAACATGTTTTTATATTATTGGAAACTGTGATTCAAAACATTGGACAGAAGTGTATGATTGTTGTTCAGTATGACAGAGGAATTTCCATTATGAAATGAAACCTGAGAATCCATGGAACTATAAACTTCATTGTAACTATTTCCTTCACTCAGTAAAGCACACAAGCAAATGACTGGTAAGTGTCACCCCCTTGATGTGAACATGGAGCATTGCAATGTCTTTCAACTCAAGTACAAGACCTTTACTGCATAGCTTAGCATATATATATATATATATATATATATATATATATATATACAGTGGGGTGCGAAAGTTTGGGCAGCCTTGTTAATTTTCCTGATTTACCTTTATAAATCATTGATTGTTTGGATAAAAAAATTCCGTGAAATATATCATATAGGGGACAAACACAGTGATACTTGAGAAGTGAAATGAAGTTTATATGATTTACAGAAAGTGTGCAATAATTGGTTAAACAAAAGCAGGCAGGTGCATAAATTTGGGCACTGTTGTCATTTTATTGATTTCAAAACCTTTAGAACTAATTATTGGAACTCAAATTTGGTTTGGTAAGTTCAGTGACCCTTGACCTCCATACACAGGTGACTCCAATTATGAGAAAGGGTATTTAAGGGGGGCAATTGTAAGTTTTTCTCCTCTTTGCATCTTCTCTGAAGAGTCGCAGCATGGGAGTCTCAAAACAACTTTCAAATGACCTGAAAACAAAGATTGTTCACCGTCATGGTTTAGGGGAAGGATACAGAAAGCTATCTCAGAGATTTCAGCTTTCAGTCTCCACTGTCAGAAACATTGTGAGAAAATGGAAGACCACAGGCACAGTTCAAGTCAAGGCTCGAAGTGGCAGACCAAGAAAAATCTCGAATAAACAGAAGCGAAGGATGTTGAGAACAGTCAGAGTCAACCCACAGACCAGCACCAAAGACCTACAACATGATCTTGCTGCTGATGGAGTCACTGTGCATCGTTCAACTATTTGGCGCACTTTACACAAGGAGATGCTGTATGGGAGAGTGATGCAGAGGAAGCCTTTTCTCCGCCCACATCACAAACAGAGCTGCCTGAGGTATGCTAAAGCACACTTGGACAAGCCAGCTTCATTTTGGAATAAGGTGCTGTGGACTGATGAAACTAAAATAGAGTTATTTGGGCATAATAAGGGTCGTTATGCATAGAGGAAAAAGAACACAGCACTCCAAGAAAAACACCTGCTACCTACAGTAAAATTTGGTGGTGGTTCCATCATGCTGTGGGGCTGTGTGGCCAGTACAGGGACTGGGAATCTTGTTAAAGTTGAGGGACGCATGGATTCCAGTCAATATCAGCAGATTCTGGAGATCAATGTCCAGGAATCAGTGACAAAGCTGAAGCTGGATCTTCCAACAAGACAACGACCCTAAACACTGCTCAAAATCTACTAAGGTATTCATGCAGAGGAACAAGTACAACATTCTGGAATGGCCATCTCAGTCCCCAGACCTGAATATTATTGAAAATCTGTGGTGTCACTTAAAGAGAGCTGTCCATGCTTGGAAACCATCAAACCTGAATGAACTAGAGATGTTTTGTAAAGAAGAATGGTCTAAAATACCTTCAGCCACAATCCAGACTCTCATTAGAAGCTATAGGAAGCGTTTAGAGGCTGTTATTTCTGCAAAAGGAGGATCTACTAAATATTGAGTTAAGGTTTTTTTTTTGGTGCCCAAATTTATGCACCTGCCTAATTTTGTTTAGACAATTATTGCACACTTTCTGTAATTCATATAAACTTCGTTTCACTTCTCAAGTATCACTGTGTTTGTCCCCTATATGATATATTTAACGGAAATTTTTTATCCAAACAATCAATGATTTATAAAGGTAAATCAGGAAAATTAACAAGGCTGCCCATACTTTCGCACCCCACTGTATATATATATATATATATATATATATATATATATATATAGGTATATATGGATGAATTGCTAGCAGTATATCGTAACCCATTAAATGGCCAGGTCCCAGTGACAGGCCCAAAGTTTTATTACTATAACCTAAGAATAGCTAAACCAGTTTGCCTTGCCAAGTCCCTGTAGTTACTGATTAATAAGCCTTAGTGTGTAATAAGACTGGGATTTGTGTGGTTAAGTTCATTGTGTTGTGAACTTTAAGACTGTAATTTTCTTTTCGGTGAGGTATTCTTTCAAAAAGTGGCTGATGTGTTTCAGATCATTATCATTTGCGCAGTGTTTTAGCAGACTTCTTTAGGTCTGCATTCAAAATGCCTTTTGCAGTACAGGACAGTTTAAATTGATGTTTGAAAAGTCATATACATTTATTACCAACCACTATAAAATCTTTTTAAATGTGCCAATAGACCACATAAATTACATTGTATTGATGAATTTTCTACCGTTATGTTTAATGATTAGCAGACTCCCTCAGTAGCTATGATTTTAAGTAACCTTGTCTAAAATGAGTGTTTCTAGGAGTAGAAATGTCAATTGGTGAGCTGTTACTCCTTGACTCACCACAGAAACATTCCAGTAGCAGGGGTGACATCTAATGTGTGCCACAGCCGTGGAGGGATAAAACAAAATATTTTTTTTGCCTAGATCATATAAAATGTGCACAAAACTGATATTTTCTGATGTATTACTAATATTTATCTAATATCTCTATACCTACTAACACAATAATTAATATTTGTTAAATTCTTCCAATTTCATTGCAAATGGATTTTGCATGACCAAGACAGTAGAAAATAGTGGATTACAGTATGATGGTAGAAAACACAGCACATGGTGCTGAGTAACAATAGGTGGTTCTTGGTTGAGAAGAAAGGTTAGTAACATTCTGGAAAGGCTCTCTGGAAGCGAGCAAGGTGTAATCTGTGTTATCTAACTCATTAGTGAATGCCACATATTATCACAAAATAAATTACATATATGTTGACTTTTATTTTTCTACACCATTTGAGCACAGCAGCTGTCCTTTACATTGTGTGAAAATGTATTAGAAATAGAAATGCTCCAAAATCACTTGAAATAAAACCTCTTTATATTTTATTTTATTAGTTTTGACCATTGCTGCCTTATCCTGTAAATATACCATTTTGGAGATACTTGTTTTTTTTGGGACATTTTTCAAGACATTAATAAATGTGAGTTAACCATGAAGATTATAAAAAAACTTGATATCATTTTTAAACATGCATAATCATTTCTCAAAGCAATATTAATAGTTTCTACTTTCACTAGTCATGAAACACATAAAACTAAATTCTTTTTGCGAACTAAATAAATACATATGTAGAATTTAGACAGTATTTTTTTTTATAATGACAAATAAAATGAAAAATCATTTCAAAGTACTTTTCAAGAAAACCTAACTAAAGTCCCAAAAATTTAAAGTTATAAGGTTCTTTTTAAAGGGCACAAGTGACACTGAACTATGACAGTTCAATTCAGTGAGGTAGTCAGGCCTTCTATCACTCATTGACTTTAAGTAAGACCAGCAGTATTTAGCTTCCACTAACTGCTTGATTAGAAGCCAATGATGATATGCCACAATGGTGGTGATAAGAGAATAATAAATGGATGGTGATTTTTTCTTCTCTCTGTTGAGAGCCCTAGCAGAACGACCTTGCAGTCGTTTACTTAGTGTGCTCGGCAGCAGGACGCACAGGAGTGTTTTACTGTAATCTAAAGATTAATCTAAAGATCAGACACAAGCATGAATAAGGTCTACAGCATCTGTGAAACTTAGGAAAGCTAAGAGAACAATTTGACTGGCAGAGTGTATCAGTATAGTCTCACTTTCACCACGTGGAACAGAAAATAGTCATAGATCATCTTCAACATCAAGTTGTGTTTTAACATATGTAGTGCCACCAGAGCCAAGTTTAGATCAGAGTGACTTCAAAAATGTAACGTTTTGTTGACTCCAAAGGTCCAGTTTGGAGGAAAAATAACATCTATGAGAAAATGATGGAAGATAAACCATTTATTCACAATGATAATTAAAGTACACCACACACAGATACTTCTAGATCACATTAACTTCTCATAACACCAGAACCATTTTAGAACTCCCCTTTCATTCCATTACACGCGATCCCAAAAACAGGACTGCAAAGACATGAGGGCGTGAGAGTCTGCAATGAATGGGAGTGACTGCAGTTGAATGGCAAAACAATGTTAATTTATTTCTAGTTATTCACACAGGAGCTTTCTTTAATTTTGGAAAGCAAAAAAAAATTGTTTACAACAAATAGGTTTTAGCCTATAGAACGTGAGCATTACTGCTACTGAGCGTACAGAGTAAAGCAGTTCACACTCCCGTGACATCATCAACATAAATAAGGCTTGTAACAAGTTAAAAGGTGTTAAAAATATAATGTCAGTGTTTAAATATTTTTAAATATTTTGTGATTAGATAAGGAGGGCATTTATGACTTAAAAATGACTAACCTTTCACAAATTACAGTTCATAAAAGCTCCATAGGCCCCCATTCATTTTGGATTATCTCATGAGTGCCCTCTAGTGTCAAACACATTCTTTGGCAATATACCTGATCTTAACCATAGCTCATCACAACCACCTTAAATCCACACACACACAACAAGGCTTAATATAATTGTTAAAATTAATGTGAAATTCCCACCTAGTGTCACAGTACAACTCTGGAGATCAAACTGCGATTCCGTGAAAGCATATCCACCTTAATTCTTAAGCGATAGACTGTTCTAACAGTCAGAAGAGCAGAGAAGCAGGTAAAGGAACATAGTAACAAAGGTAACACTGGTTCACTTGCCCTTCAGTAGCCTATAAAGAGTGACTTTCATGGAGAAAAGTCAAAACAGTCAAGTGCCTTTTCCATAAGCACTGCCCCTTAGTCCAACACACTAAACAGCTATGAGTTCTATTTTAAACAGGAAGAATAACCAGATGGTGATGCATCTACTGCCATGGAAAGCAAACAATGGAAGAAGATTTCAAGAAAAGTGAATGCATATGATAGACAAGTATCCATATATCTGATATATAAGGATAACTCAGCCATCACACTTGATTTTTCAGGGTTTTATCAGATGAAAATGCAGCATTATATATAGTGAAAGACCCCAGAAAAAAAAAAATTACCACACAAAACAAAATCTGAATGAAAAAAAGAGTAGAGTGAAGTAATTTAAGAAAAAAGAATAACCATTAGCCATTCCAAAATTCTATGAAAGGTAGATTTTTGCATCTTTCTGCAAACGAGTGCTCTCTCTTCTCAATGCAATTTCGAGTAAAACAAAAGGCCTGTGGTCCTTATTACTGAGGACGGGGTCACTGAGTGTGGGATCAGACAGCGGGTTCCAGATTCTGTGTGTGTTAGAGTGTCTGTGTCAGTCTCTGTTGTCTCGTCTCACACTCTGTGTGCGCTGTGTCCTCACCGTATCTCATGCTGTTTCAGTATCCCGATGGGAGCAGTAACACATAGATAAACAACATTCTTAAAGAGACAGAGTCCAAATGATCATCAAGTCCTCCAGGGTTACAGGGTTACTTCTGCTTCTTCAGCGTTTGGACCTCATCCTGCAACGATTGATTGTTTTGGGAGCTGGTCAAACATTGTGATTGTACTTAAAAATTAAAGTTTTAGCTGAATAGTTAAACTACAGTACTAAAGTACTGTAAGTACTCAAAGCAGCTGTAAATTTTGACTCAAATGTAAAGGTGCTGGGAGCAAGATTTTAAGAATCATTACAGTGCTACGCTCTTTGCATCAGCCTTTTTTTGTAAATGCTAAATCACCTAATGCGTGTTAAAATATATATATATATATATATATATATATATATATATATTTTAAGTTATCTAAAAATGTTTTTTAATTAACTAAAGTTTAATAATATTTAATAATTAATATTCAATACACTCTAAATACAGCCATGTCAGGAATGCAACCTGAAAACCTTATGAAATGCAGGGCTGCCACAAACACTGACAGAACACTGTCATCAGAACTGAAAGAATTCTAACTTGTAATATTTAATGTGTTCCCACTCACCTGTAGTTTCATTCGTTTGCTCTTTTCCTCGCTTAGCTCGTCTTTAAGCTCTTTCATGTCTGCTCTATTTTGGGAATAACATTGCATATTAAAGCATATGATGCTATAATGATTGTTGAATGTGATTGAAATGCTGTAATGAGATATTGGAATCACTGAGTCAGCTTCTGCATCCGGCAGTGATACTCACTCGTGTCGATTTTTGAGCAGTTCCAGAGCCATGCGTAGTTCTCTCAGTTCAGCCAGTACTTTATCCAGAGTTGGTTTCTCCTCCTGGGGCTTGACCTCTGCTGGTTTGGCCTCAGTCTGGGGTTTGGACTGAACAGGATGCTGAGGTAAAGAAGATGTGATGAAAGCCTGCTCTGCTTTATTGGTTGATGGTAAATGATTTTCTGCGTCCTGTAAGACATAATTTTGCTAATGTATATCGTTTGTTTTCCACCTCCTATAAAGTTCCCATTTTGAAGATACAGGGTTTTCTTATGACAACAATGATATATTGTTATAATTATATTATATGAGCATGTAATATTACTTATTACATATAATACAACTTATTACAAAATCTTTAAATTTTTCATTGCCTATTTGAGTTGCATATTATTAATAATATTTCCCATGTACTGATGTTACTAAATTAATTATTCAATATTCACATTAGATGATGCATACAAATATGTAACATCATGGTGATCTAATGATGCAGAGAATGCTCTTTGCTGACTACCACATTATCTTTCTAAAATGTCTTTCTCAAATATAGCCATTCTGCTTCTTATCAGTAAATGGCGTGTGGTGGGTGAACATTTGGTTTTCAAACCTTCGGGGGAACTGCAGATGCCTCATTCTGGTTGGTGTCACTGGTAGCCTTTAAAGATACACAGGTCATTAGTCACACCTCCACAAAACTGCTATTAGTTGGTTATCAAAATATCAAATTATGAAATGAAGTTAATTTGCTGATGGTATATATCTGTTGGTAGAAATTGAGGTGTATATTAGCTTAGAATTAAGCTAAAACCCAGTCACATCCTTTAAACTTTCATATTCAAAATAATTTTTTATACATTTGAGGCTGCACTGAGGCCTGTAGGTGGTCTCCTCTGTGGGGGTTTGGCCCTGCTGGCTGTGGGATGGTTGAGTTTGTCTGAAGATACATTCACTCCATCAAACTGGTCAGCGTCCTTGGCTTTACTCTCTGTGTGTGAGGCTTGAGGTTGATCATCACTGCCCCTAAAAAAAGAAATTAAATCCTTGTGTGAAAACGTGTGAAACTGGAAGCTGCCTGCATGTGTGACGATAACAAAGTTTCTTATATGTTGGTAATGTTGTTGGTGTACACAAACAGGTCAAACAGGACACACCTGAACTTTCCCTAACGTCAATGTACACTATAAGAAGTTTTCTTTAATGCCAGGGTCACCTGAATTGTTTGGTTTCTGGTTGTGCTGTTCTTCCTTTTGTGCTGACTTCGGTTTGCGTCAATCTGCTGAACCCTTAATCCATCCTGATTAATTCTATTCAAACCCAGAAAGCCTCAAAATAATAGCAGTAATCCTCTGAATGATGCTATTAATTAACAATTTGTTCATCCATCAATTTTACATTTTAGCCAATATTCAAATAACATAACTCAGTGAAAAAACAGAGAACTGTTCTGTAAGTTTGTCAATGTTTGGTGTGGCAACATTTTTTATGGCATAATCATGCGGTGTAAGAGGTGTTTCTGTTCTGAGAAATGTTCTGTATGCACGCTTACAGAAGAGGAAACAGGCAGCTTAAGCTTGCTTAGCTCCATGGTGACTCATGTAGTTTCAGTTTAGTTCCTTTTAATTCTTCTGAAGGCTGAGCATTTCATATCCTATTCCATGTCCTACTCACACAGCTCTCACCTTGTACTTTTAGTGCAATGCAAAATTGGGATGCTAAGAAGACAGTTCAGATAAAAGAATTTTCTGTGGACTAAACAGTAAAATTAATCTGGTAGGTTTTTTTGCTTATGCCAAGGAGAAGTTCATCAGCAACCTATATTTAATTGGTATTCAGTTCTCTTTTTATACTATAAGCATACCAGAGGTGATAAAATAAGTGGCGTTTCAGATATCTGCAGACTGTTCACACTGTACAAAATAAAAAAGTGGAAATACACATTGCTCACACGGTACACAGTAACAGAGGAACTGAATTTTAAATGAACATATGCTCACTTTTTTACCATCTAACATTAACTTAAACTGTATCTCCATTTTTCTGGTTTTTTTTTTACATAATTTGAGCACAGCAGTTACACTTTACTTTGTGTGAACATTTCATGATCAATGGACCAATAAAAATGCTCCAAAATTTCTTCAAATAAAATTTCAATAAAACTTTACATTAATCTACATTAAAAGTTGAGACGGGGCAACAACGTAACCAAAGACTGATAATGCTCGGAAAAAACAAGTGGTGGAACAGGTCAGCAGGTCAGTAACATGACATGACTGAGCATAAAAAGAGCATGCCAAAGAGGATGAGTCTTTCAGAAGTAAAGATGGGGAGGTGTTCACCACTCTGTGAAAGACTGCCAGGGCAAACAGTGCAACAATTCAAGAATAACGTTTCTCAATGTAAAATAGCAACGAACTTGGGGATTTCACCATCTCCGGCTTGTTATCAGCGCAGAGTTCAAAAGCCAGCATCTGTGATGAGATGAGTGTGCATTAGTGCACATGGCATGGGTGACTTGCAAATCTGTGGAGGCACCAATAATGCTGAACGATATATATACAGGTTTTGGAGCAACATATGCTGCCATCCAAATGACGTCTTTTTCAGCAAGACAATGTCAAACCACATTCTGCACATATTACAACAGCATGGCTCTGGTTTAGGGTGCTAAACTGGCCTGCTGCAGTCCAGCCCTGTCACCCACTGAAAACATTTGCCGCAATATGAAACAAAAAGTACAACAAAGGAGTACAACAAAAACCCTGAACTGCTGAGCAGCTGAAATCCCATATGGATCAAGAACTGGAAAACATTTCACTTTCAAAACTACAGGAATTGGTAAACAATTGGTAAAAACTGCAGCGCAGTGGTAAACATGCCCCGTCCCAACTTCTTTGAAACGTGTTGCTGGCATCACATTTAAAATGGGCATATATTTTTCAAAAACAACTTTCTCAGTTTCAACATTTGATATGTTGTCTTTGTACTAGTTTAAATTAAATGTAGGGTTTAAACTATTTGCACATCATTGCATTCTGTTTTTATTTGCAGTTTACCCAGCATCCCAACATTTTTGGAAACAGGGTTGTGGACTGATCACTAAGAAAATACATGTGCACTCAACTTGTAGTTCTGCTCTGACTCCCTGATTCTTCTCATGATTGAACATGTTACATTCACATTACATGGTGTTATGTATACATTCACAACCTCCTCCTCAGATAATTATCTGTGATAAAGGATGCCTCTTCTGCATTTAGCTTCCAACAGGTCTGTCTAAATTGCTCTTTAAAGAATGTTTGATTCAAAAGATGACCTACTTTGGTGCAGGCTTGTGTGGTTTGTCCTTAATGGGAGGAGGAGCTGAAGTTTTGAACATGCCAGGCAATTTGATTTTACCAGGTGGATCGCATCTGAAATCTTTGGCATCTGGTTTTTCATCTGTAAATACAAACAAAAGATGTGATGGCTTTTATAATAAAGATGCAAATACCAGATCCTGCAGCATAATTTTGTTGTTTTTCTCCTTCAATTAAGTTGATAAACCAAAGCATTTGTACATACACTGATTTGTTTTACTAATTTTTGTACTTATTTGTGTGGTGTGATGACGTATTAATGGCTGTTTATGAAAACAAATGCAACCCTATCAAGACAACTGGCTTCAAAGATACTAAATAAACACAGCAGTTTTTATGCACATCACTCACACAACATTTACATGCACTTTCATAGAGCAGTTCTCTGAAAATTCCAGATTTTCCTTCATGCTGTAGTATTCTTACCTTTGGCCTCTACCTTTGAGCTTGTTTCAGCGCTGTTCTTGTCCATTCCAGAAGCTTCCTTTACTGTGAAACAGAAGGGTTTTTTGTTAGACAACATTAAACAGCATTGAGATCTAAACTGTTTGTATGAGCTCACAAAATAAGCAGTGTTTTACAGCATTTATATAATGACATAGGGTTAACACTGGAGGTCTGCAAAAGCATGGGAATGTCAGAGTCCCTGACAGAGGAAGCAGCCTACTGTTTCCTGTGGCTACTTAAACCTCTCACGAGTCCCTTAAAAGCATGGGAAATTGATGATTCTGTGAAAGTTCTTGGAGTGTTTTCATGATAACATGTGGAATAAAGCTCACTTAAACTGTACTCAATATTGTGGACACATTAAAAAATGACCTCTGGTGCTGCTCTCTGTGAATGTAAAACCAAAATAGGTAGACAAGCACAATTACACATGGAAACTTGTCATTTTGTAAGTCGTTATGTAGCTGTGAATATACAGAGCATATTGTGCAATACTGTGCAGATGTCTGATATTAAGTAATATGTAAAGCCATTTATTTGAGTGATCAGCATTTATTTGTTTGGAAAAAAAAACACCATCATAGAACAATAATAATACAAGAATACAAACAGAATAATACAAATAAGCAAACAAACAGTATATTATGATTTTTTTTAACTGTCAGTGTGTTTGCTTAGCCAGACCTCCCCAGACCTCTCCTCGAGGAAGCCCAGTATTTACAGTTACTATTACTAAAAATAACTTCTTTCAAAACCAAAAATCTTGTTACTTTTTACCATGTTTGTGTTTATTTGTATTTATCATACTGTTATACAGTTTTTACTGGTAAAAATACACTTACAGCCAAGATAAATGGTTTTAAACAATTGTCTTGGCTGGCTAAGACATTTGCACAGTACTGTATACAATATATTACAATATACGGCATAATGGTCTGTACTCAACTCAGCAAAGACTGAAAGTACACAGAAGTTATAATGGTTCTGTATTGGACACAAGCAACGTAAGATGCATTCACAGAAAGCATGTTGTTAGATATGGCCCATATTCAGAAAGTTCTTAAAGTAAGAGTGCTGTTTTAGGATTAGATTAGTTTTAATTGCCAAGATTTTAAGATCTTTGACAAGAATAGATTCAAGATCAGCTCTTCTAATCTGAAACACTTTGTGAATACAGGCCTAGACATGCTAGTAAACTTAAAATCAGAAAAAAAATCAGTCATCAGTGATCAGAAACTCAACTCAGCTCTCTCCCCAAATGTTCTTTCCCATTTGGTGTATGTGCATTGCAAATCTCAACCTTATAACATCTTAATGCTTATTATTCAATAAGAACAAATGATATGCAGTTCATCAGTTTCTCTTGTTTAATACTGCAACCAGTTTGCCACGCTCCTAAAGGACTACTGAACACACTGCTCTACAGATCTCAATAAATCTGTGTTCTCTACAAAGAACAGCTTTTTAAATGAAAACAGATAATACATATTAAATCAGCCTTTACATACCCCCTCTGAGGAATGAAAGCTTTGCGTCCAGCTTCTGCCGTTAGACATTCACTACAAAGATCAAAATACCTGAAGAGGCTAGATAAGTGCCCTTGCCTCTCTCTGCAGCTTGCTCACGTGGCATCAGCAGGCCTAGAACTTCCTGTGGAACTCACACACAGCTATGTGTTCTAGTCCTGCATGTCAGTTACTATGAAATGTATCAACTAAGAATTCACTTTATGTGAAAACAAAAGTTAAGGTGGACTCATGGAATTAATTTACATGCTACAGTAGCATTTAAACTGGCCTCCAGTAAGAACTGTGCACCCTTTGCACTTGAGACATTTTCAAGTATAGAGTAAAAAACAACCCCAGAAGCCACAGGTGTCTTAGCATTTTCGAGCTCATCTGTGTCAAAAAAACCCCACTTCCTGCTCCAGATGTGACAGCTGTCAATGAGAATTTCACATCCTTTTTTCAGCAGAAATACAGTGAGTGCAGCACAGGGTAAAAGTGTTATCAGACACTGCATACTGTGCTCTTTTATTAAAGAATTACCAAAGACTCATGCATTTTGATGGTTTTATGACTATAAAAAGCAAAAATATGCAAGTATGTACAAACAGACATCTAGGATTGAAGCCTCTAATTACAGATTTTTTTCAAAAGACTCAAAGATCAAGCCAAGTAGCTGTCAAAACTAAATGAAACAGTACCTTCAGCTCATCATGAGTACCTAACAGCTAAGAGAAAGCATATCAGATGAAGGATAACTGTTTGCTCCTGCACATAACCTGGATGAGGTCGAGCACTCAAATAAAACTTTTTCAGCTAACCGGCTCCTCAAATTAGCAACACAGCTTTTTGCAGAAGAGAAGAGTGAGTGATGGAGCAAACTTAGTTAATTTTTGTGTTTAGTGTACGACGTTACAAATAAATAGTGCAAAACATGCAAAAGTTTGAATATCTCCAGTCAAATGACGTTTTGTTGATTTACTCACTGAAAATAAGTGCATACCTTCTATATTTTGTGCAAATTTGGACATTTTGGAAAAAAATTAAACATATACTTTTGCACTGGCAACATTTTATGTTTTATTTTATTTTTCCAATATGTTCAATTCAGCAAACAAACAGAAATTGTGCATTAAAATGTGCAGACGTGTGTGTTAACTTATTTTCACTTAAAAAAATAAAAAAAATATGTAATTTGACCAGGTGTTCCCAAACGTTCACATACAACTGTATGTCAGACCGTCACGTGGTCAGGCTGTGTCAGATTGTGGTTATGTTCTGGTGATTCTTATGAGGCTTCTAATATGCATCTGTATGCTCTGAAAAACCTAAAAATCTATTTCGTATATATATATATATATATATATATAGTGACTGCAAAAAGTCTTTTGGGCATTTTAACCATTTAAGAAGGTTTTTTTGGGTACTACTTACAATGTTAAGCAAAATGAGGTTTGTTTCAGAGAAAAGCACTTTTAGCACAGCTGTTTCTCTGACAATGGTGTCGGAGAGCTTGTGTTAACTGATGAGATTATGAACTCAGAAGTGTGCAAATGGATTCTGGCAACGCTTTATTTAGAGTGGCCTTTGTAGATGATTAATAATCTCTTAACAGATTATCAGTAACAAATCAAAAACATATCATTGAAGTATCAGTAATGCAGCACTTGAATACATTGAAATAAATATCTTGAGGATGTACTGTTGATACGTTACTTACATTAAGTAGATGTATTGTTAATATGTACTTCCATTATGCAAAACCTAAACTTACCCACCCTTACCTAAAACCGAACCCTAACCCTGGCCCTAATCTTAACCCTAACCTTAACCTCAACCCAAATCCTAGTTAAGCACAATGAACTTACCCACGCAAATCCCAGTCTTATTACATGCTAAGGCTTGTTATTCAGTAACTACAGGGACTTAAATCCAAACTGGTTAAGCTTTTCTTAGGTTATAGAAGTGTTTCATAAAATTTTGGCCATGATAGAAGTTAAACCATTTTTAAGAATAACAATGTCCAAATACTTTTTAGGGCCACCCTTTGTCTAAAGTAGATGCGTATCTCACAATATTCTAAAATATGCCTTACTTGAAAACATTTAAAATGCCCTAATTTGTTACATTTTCACAATGAATGTCATACTTTTTAAAACCAAACCCAACATAGTGAGAATTTGCCATAGGTGAATTTGCAGCAGTTTCTAGGCATCCCAGCATGAATAATCCAGTACACTGCCAGCAAACACTTCTGTGTCAAAATAACCCTGTAATCACCCGCTCACTGACTTACAGTGCTAGCAGCATTGCTTTTCAGAAGTGTGATGATTATCTTACCTGATTGCTTCTGTGAGCCACGTCTCAGCGGTAGCTGGTTTTTGTCCCCAAGCTAACAGGAAAAAAAGAACAAAATGAATGAGAGACAACGTTGGGTTAAACATCATGCTCTTTCCATAGAGGGAACATCATGTTACTGACTTTAGCCTTTCTTTACTCAGAGACTAATGGAAATCTCTGATTCATTCTCTCTTAAACAAGCTTAAAATAACTCGCAGAGAGACTATAGTGAAGCTTATTTCCAACACAGCAAAGTGATAAAACCATCATTTACTGCCTCTGGGAAAATACATAAGTAAACTGGCTGTTTCTGGTCTAAAAAGTGTTTTGTAAAATCCTAGAGCAGTGTTAACTGAGGGGTCACTCCCATTCTCACGCAACAGGGCTAGTGTGAGAACATTTCTCCACCCTACTCACTTGAACAGCGTCCGCCGGGATCACCATGACGAAATTATCGGGGAAGAAGCCCCTCCGCCCATTCAGCTCTCCCTCCCACCATCCCTCATCTTCAGTGACCTTGAGCACAGAGGAAGAGAAAATAAAGCCAAGCCCTGCTATTAACACACACTCACTCTAACAAACACAGACGCAGAAATGACTCAGGAAATCACTCTCAGAATAAGGATGCAGTAAGAATTCACCCTCATAAGTATGTTCATTTGATGCCTTAGTGCTCTGTTATACAACACTTTCGTTTACATGGCTTTGTGTAGATCCAGGTAATATGTTGTCAATAATGGTATCAACAACATTACTGATATGATTTTAATGCACAATTACTGTTTATTTGCTGAATTTAACATACTGGGGGAAAAAAAACTCTGGTCTGCACAAACGTTATGGCACATTATATATGTATATATATTTTTCAATATGCTAAACTCAGCAAATAAACAGAAATGGTCTATTACAATTAGCAGAAAATGCCATATTTAAGTATGTCCCATATAGAAGATGGGTTAAATTATTGTCACTTAAAATAAACAATACAGGTAATTTGACTGTGGGAGCGCTCAAACTTTTGCACATCAGGATTGTAAAACATCATTTTAGCATAAAGTAGCAGTACTTAACAATTAAAAGAATGCAAGCTAAAATATGATCAAATTATGCAAAAATCATAATTGTAAATTTTAACAATACCACCCAGCTCACATGGCTTGTTGAAGTTTTGAAGGGTTCGGTACAAAACAAGTGTAAAGGGTGAAATACTGTTTTGCATTTATTCCATATCAAGTAGACAGATGGCCAATCAGACTATTGCTCCTTCCACTCAGATGTTGAAGAAAGCAAGAAAGTGAGCTTCATATGTTTTATGGAGAAAAGCACAGGTGAACATTTACAGTGTATCAGTTAAATGTCCTGCAGTTTCAGACCTTGCTGATGATGGTGACAATGTCTCCTTTCTTTAGGTCCAGCTCATCCTCAGCATAGGCTGCATAATCGAACATGACCTGACAGCATTCTTTCACTATCAGAGAACAGGAACAGGAATGTTTAGTGTGTTGAGTTGAACAGCGCTGTGGATATGTGGGTGTTACTTATTAGCAACAGAGAAAGAAGACATGAAATGATAGTGAAACATGTTTTTGGACCAGGAAGTGAAGCATCATGATTCATTCTTTGATTTCTATCTTATCAGTATGGCAGACTGAGCTCAGTGGATGAACCTTAAATTCTTACCACTCCGACTAGTAATGACAGGCTTACTGGAAGTATGTGACAGTTCAAGGTGCCACCCTTACGATATGCAGTGCTCTGAAGAATTCTCCTGAGCTGGTGTCTGATATACGTACTAATGGCTGTTAGTCATTATTATTTAAAACATGTCTGTGTTCAAAATAGACCTGCTCTGACATTTCAACAAAGACCGTCCATACTTCTATGATAAAGTCATCAGAACAGGCCAAACCACTTGTGAAATCCTAAACAGTAGCCGGTGTTCATTCTTTTGCTATTGGTTTAAAATGTCAAATACCTTGTAATGCATCTGACACACTCACCATTTGTTTTTCTGCGTATAGTTGTTCTCTGTTCTTGTATTCCCTGTAAACAGAGAGATACATTACACTTGATTCCATATCCCAAGCCATTTTCTATACAGTGGAATGATCTGCTCTAGCCTACCTCTTTAGTGAAGATGGCGTCAGAAAGTTTAGGCCGGCTTTTGCTTTCACTCAGCCTTCCATCTGCAAAACATGGAGAGAGATCGGCAACGTCTTGTGAGGAAAAAATTCATCATTAACGGGAGAAAGTACTATCATGAACAAAAATCATTTACGTCCAATATTACAAGTGACCAAACCTTTTGGAAAGGAAAAAATTTCTTTTACAAAGTTTGATGGAAAAGCTCCTATTTTGTTATTTTTCTTCCCCATCCACCATCCATCTTCAATCTGTGAGCACAAACAAAAGAAAAGCATTAAGTCAAGAAAACCATGACAAAACACACAAACAGACAGTGAGAGAGAGACTGAGATTCAGAGATAACAAACATGAGGAGGAAATAAGAACGCCAGCACATCATCACAGAAAAAACAGCCCGTGCAAAAAGCCGGTCTTCAAGTATAAATATTATGCAGCTGCACCAAGAAAACTCTCAGGCCATGCAATTTCTATACATGCTCATTAGGAGGATTTTGACTTCAGCTAAATGCAGCAAACTGGTAAACTAAGGCATGATGGATAATGTGCATTACAAAGAATGTCTTTGTGAGAAACATATTGCTCTCTACCTCTCTAAGAATCTCTATAGTATCTCCAACAACCAGCTCCAGCTCGTCCTCGTGCGCTGGCTTGTAGGCATAAGTGACTTCACATTTCCTACACTGTTCCTTCAACGACATCTTCGCTGGAGTGAAAAACAAGCAGAGAACACAAATAAAAACTTGCTAGTGAAAGTCTGAGTTAAACCAAACAGTTATGCAAAAAAGAAAAAAAAAATAGTCCTCCAGTCAAATGAAGCCAACGTCACACGTGCCTGCTTTAATATGTATTTATAGTACTGTTTCGACACTTATAATTAGCACTTGGCCCTTGAGATAGGAAGTGGTCTGTGTGGATGAAGAAGTCTTTCATTACTTGGTTCTGTTTATCGTGCTGTCCAAAGCACAGTGTTTTTCAGCAGCTGGAGGCTCAAAAGCCTCCCAGGTTTGTCAGTTTTTATTTTGTTTATTGCACATTTTGTTTGGAACATGTAAAGACGCACATACGTTGTCGCATGCTTCGTGGCTCTCTCTTGCTGTCTCCTGTCAAGTGAACAGGTACTTCCTGCATAGACGAAAAACAGAAGTTATCAAGGAGGAACCCATTACGAAGCGAACCGTGCTGATAAAAATCAGCCTTCTGACAACCCTGAAATGAAAATCTGCAAGAGTTCAAAAAGAATACTGCACCTTAACAAAGTTGGAGGGGAAAATACCCCTTTTCCCTCTGAGCTCTCCCTCCAGCCAGCCCTCTTCACTGGCTGCCTTCACATTCTTCACCACATCACCCGGCTGCATCGTTAACTCATCCGCCATCGTCCCCTCAAAGCCTATCAGCACCAGCACCTCTGAGGTGGACACACACAGAGGAATAAAGGGATTAGGCACCGGTAAAGTTTTGTACAGGTTACTGGCACTTAACTTTTGTACAGACACTTTACAGTTGCATGTTCTGATGACATAAGTTGCGAAAGATACTTTAAGATCTGAGAGTGATATGGACACTAATAGGAAAAGGAGATACACTGTGAAATGGATGCAACCCCACTAGCCAGTTGTCATGATGTACTACGTCATTTCATCTGAAAGTGTTATGATAATCTAATGTCAAAAAAAAAAATCTGCATAAAATCTGACAAAAGCAGCCTTTATGACAAACTAATACTTGTTGGAATAAACATTTATAAATGTGATATGTAGAATTATATTAATTATCATATAAAGCTTATGTAGGTGTCATGTAGCCCTGATGAATGCCTCCCTTATATAAAGTGTCACTGCCACATCCAATAGAGAACTGTTGCTGTCTCAGATGTAATAGTCTATTGCTATTTATTGTTAACTGATCTGTAAAGTATACACTGGTCCTGGTATTTAGCTGTGCACCAGTGTAATGAACACACTGGCATGTTATTACACATTTTGTCATTTTACATCAAAATGTTATTATCTCAGATGAGATGTGTTTCAACAGGCCAGAAGGTATGTGGTATGCAGGATATGACTCCAGGTAGTGTTTAACTCAGGAACTGACTGCACCAGCTGAGGTCTTACTGAGCTGTAGCTGTTACAGAGGGTGGTTCTATAGGCACAGTTTGTTTACAAACCAACAAATCAGCATTAGAAGAAGAGTAAGTGTCTTATCTGCTGCTGATCTTACTCATATCACAATACCAAGAGAAAATCTGAAAATCTAGACATTAGAATATTATTATCAGAGTCAGCTGGGGACAAGGAATTTTCATGCTACACAGAAGCAACACCATAGAACAACCACATTTGGTTCCATAAAGACCTTTTCAATGAACAAAAAAAACCTTTTTTGTAAATAAATTGTGTGAGTGCGAAGACCTTTTCTAAGTTTAAAGATCTCAACATAATCTAAAGATACTATACCAATTAAAGGATTTTCCTAGAACCATTAAACTCAAGAACTCATTAAAGTCAAGAACCATTGTACTAATCTACAAAACAATGGCAAAATCCAGGATCAAAAAATTCAGGAAGTACTAAAGAGAGCTAAGGAAATCCCAAGGAGTTCCTTAGTTGTCTTTAGTACTATACTGACTCACTGACTGTCACACTGTCCAACACCCCCTTTCCCTCTCAGGACTATAACTCAATATTCAATATTCTATTCAGAATTCACAGCACTGGTACATTATAAACTTGTGTTAGATTTCAAACAGAAACCACTGGAACCAGAAGCTGGCAGGCAGAAGCCAGAAGTAATTCCTGCTGGAAAGCTGTTAACACCGGCATCTAAAAAAACATACAGACACTTACCCATTGCTGCTGAAAGCTCTTCTCAGTCCTCCTCGCTTTCAAAGGCAGAAGTCTCTCTTGGGCGGACTTTCAGTGTTAAAAGTGTTGCCTGAATAAATGTTGCTCAAGACACAGAAACAGAAAAGCTTGGGCCCTCCTTCCTTTAGTCAAATATTAACACTAAGAAACTCTTCCCTGCTAGTCATGACAAGCTAAAGAACTTCAGATGTAGATGTATACGCGTGCGTGCATGAGACAGAGAGAAAACAGAGAGAGACAGAGAGAGAGAGAGAGAGAGAGAGAGAGAGAGAGAGAGAGAGAGAGAAACAGGTGAAACAGGTTTCTGTCCAGATAAGGGCATAAAGTGCAAATAGCAAAAACTAAAAAGAAACGTAAGAAGGGGGAAGCCTTAAGCGATAATTCAACCCATGTTTTTCATTTTGACACACTGCCATGTGAGAGAATGTGTATATCTGGCTTTTTCACCCTCAGGATAGGAGTTGCCTATTTATTGACTGCATGACGTCAAAAGTAGTTTACATTTATGCTGGAATAAAACTGAAAAGCTGAGTTATGAGTGAAGCAAGTAAGTCATTCAAGTCACAAGCTTTTAAAGCTTTAAAACTAGTTAAGTTACAATATTACTTTTTATTTCTGATACCAACATTAAAACCGCCGCTATCAGCTGATACCAAAGAGGTATTTTCTCTTCACAAATTTAGCTTTAAAATGAGCTTATTTTGACAAAAGCAGCAGTAGACTACTATGCTCAGTTTCTTGTTTTTTCCTGTTAATTTTAGGGTTATAGTTCTGCAGCATTTATTACAGGTTTTTCTACACTATGACTCTTATTGTGAAGGCGGGGCTAGCCTGCTGGCTGTGTAATGTGACGTTGTTAGCTTGGTGAGAAAATACACAGCTGATATCACATAACAATATGAGTGTGTACTATTACAGACTGGATTGGATCAGAATAATTTATAGCATGTTTTTCCTGTTAGTTTTGGAGTAATTGTTCTGCAGCATTTATTTACTGGGTTCTTCTGCAAAGACTCTTATTGTCAAGGCAAGGCTAGCCCACTGGCTGTGTGTTTATGTTTGTAGACAGGAAGAACTAGGTCAGTCGAGAGCTGAGCGCTGAGAGAGGCAGACATGAGCTTGGGCAACAGCAAACTGTTAGAGCAAAATTGAGCTTATGTATGGCATAGCTGTGGCCGACTACAGCTGTTTAGTAAATTGCTATGACTTGTGCAAAAGTGTCTTCTTTCATAATGTTGAATGCTACATATAATTTCAGAAGCAAAAGGTTCAGCATTCTGACGATTCGTCCACTAGCAACTACAGAGCTCTGGCAGAGGAAAGATGGAGCACTCTGTTTATGTGATGACTGAGGAAGACAGCGGCGGGTTTGCATAAGAGAACCACTGATGCTAGGAACGAGTCATTCCAGGAGAAGGAGAGCCGTAAGAGAACGATGGGACTGGGTGGGTGAAGAGCCGAGCTAGTGCTGGCTATCCATACATCCTGTAGCATGGGATCGCCAGCACTGGATGTGTGGTCGGCCAGGACATCTGGCTAAGGCTTGTTCACTGGGGTGAAGTCAGTATAAAAGAATGCCGGCCTAGCCAAAAAGAACAGTACAGGCAGCAAACAAACAGTGGCCATAGTGGGGCGAATGTTCATATCAGACTTCTGCCACTTTTCTATCCACCTTAAAGCAGTTCTGTGGACAGTCATAGAGGCCCTGCCAGAAGTGGTACCTGCTGGGTCCGAGCTAGAAGGCATGGCAGTTCATCGCCGCACTGTGACTAGTGAACTAACATCACTCATGGTGAGGTGATGACACTGACAGTTGGGGGCAAGAGTATGCACCACTTAGTCTGGATAGCTTATAAGTCCAAGATGTGCATACTAGGCCTAGGCTTTTTGAGAAGCAATGGGTGCCAAATGGACCTACAGTGCGCTACACTGAGTTTCAGAAGTAGGCATGCAGTTACAGCAAAGCCACCAGATGCCCAGTGAATGGTAAAACACACAGGATCTCTGGGGTGGAGTGTGCTGTCAGGTTTAGGGTAGCATGGCTTTTCATAGGTGCCGCACACAAGCAGAACCTTCGTCAGCGTCAGCAACACAGAGGATTTAGGAGAAAGTGGAGGGCGGCCGAGAGGAGTGCTGCTGCTGCTGTCCTGCCCCAAGTGGCAAAGAACTTGATGTTGTGAGCTGTGAGAAGTTCCACCTCTCCCAGGATGAGGACACAGAGCTGTTCATGCATTGCTGTGACCAGTGTTCACCACTTCGGCCTCTCTGCTCCGGTGGATCCATGGAGAGGACACCATAGATTTGGTGTTCAGCTACCCTCCAGCACCAGCCAGTACAGATAACTCCCCTGCCAATGGAGTTCCCCACCCCAGCACACCCCCAAAAGGAGGGGGTGGCCCCCAGTTTGGTTCAAAGACTTAGTGGTTCCTTGGGGGCGAGGACGTTTGTTTTGTGTGTTTGGGAAATGTTTTTTTCCTGTTAGTTTTAGGGTTATTGTTCTGTATTATTTATTATGAGTTTTTCTGCAAAGGCTCTTATTGTGAAGGTGGGGCTAGCCTGCTGGCTGTGTGTTTATGTGTGCAGACAGGAAGAACTGGGTCAGTTGAGAAAGGAATGCTGAGAAAGGAAGATGTAAGTATGGGCTAAGGTGAACTGTTAGATCAAAGTTAAGCTTAGGTATGGCATAGCTGTGGCCGACTACAGCTGTTTAACAAAGCACTACAACTTGTACAAAAGCTGTGTCTTCTTTCACAGTGGTGAACGCTACACATACCCCCCAATATCCGACCCAGTATTTTCTGCTGACACTGGCCCCATACCGATACCTGTTATCGGATCAGTGCCATCTTGATTTCATTCATTTCCTGTAACAGTAACATAACAAAAACAAAGCTGTTACAGGGCCACAGGAACTCTGTAAGCTGCATCAAAATAATCAAATCAATCTAATCTAACTGATTTATACACAAGTTATCATTTTGTCCAATCTAGTAAAATCTGATTAAGATCTAGTAATGATCTTGATTGCTCCCACTCTACCAAAGGAATGATCTAGTAATATTACTTGTGTTCATATTATATTTCAAACAGAATTCAGATTTCAAACAAATTTTCAGACAGTTACTGTAAAGAAACAAACAACATTTCATTTGTATTTCCAAGGGTTTTGTAGGATTCTTTTCAGCTTCAAGAAATCTCAGTATTCTCAGCCTTAGTAATTATTGACATGATGATTACCCTTGGACTTTACTTTTTTATAGTATTATGTGAATTCATGATATCTAATAAAACAAAGCACCCATTAGTCAAGTAGACATCTTTAACAATGTCTATTATCTGAAAGCAACAATGTGAAGTAACAAGGTAGAGTTTGAGTATTTAGATTTGTCATAACCTTTATGTTCTGAACAAATATATAATTTTTACTCTGATATATTTAATATCGGTTATTTTCCCAGTTTTAGCTGCTCCTTCTAATCCAGGGGTGTCAAACCCACCAGTAAACGGGCCATATCAAAGGGCCAGAGGGAACAAAAAATCTTTAATTAAAGTTGTGCTAGAACCCGAACTGGCCATTGTTTATTCAAAATGCAGTTTTCACTTCAGCAGTAAAATACAGACACTTGTAGTAGACCTTGAAATATTACATAAATACTTGAAATATTCGAAATTTAAATGTCCCCAGGAGCTCAGTCTTTTAAACTTACCTATTTGCTTGCACTAGACACCTGGCATGCTTTCTTTGCTGGGAGTTTAGTAGTATGTGGGCTCAGTTTCTGAGCTGCTGTTAAGTGTTTATGTTGGCTGAACTGCAGTTACTGTGTTTGGTGATATGACTGGTGTGGAATTGTGTAGAATTGTATAGACGTGTTATCGCTGGCCCATAGATTGTTATTGTGGTAGGAGAGTCGGAGCGCATTGCGTTGCAGTGCATGCTGGGAACTGTACTGCAGCATACTGTGAAACGGGCTAATATTAACAGAAAATTAAAATACTTACGCAGGCTGCATATGATTGTGTGGCGGGCCTGATCTGGCCCACAGGCCTTGTGTTTGACACATGGGCTCTATCACTAGTCAGGATCCACTATACGTTCACCATGGAGCAGTGAACGTCTGCGCGAGCTCAACTAGCAGTCAATCTGGCGGGCTTTGCACATCATCTTCTAAATCGCCAGCTAGCTTCATAAAACAGAAGAACGTGGCTGAAAACCACTACGTCCATAGCTGCTCTTGGTGCTTCGTTTTGCTGGAATTAAGTGGGACTTCTACACAGTGAAGTGTCGGCTGTGTACACCGCTGTAACCTGAGAAGGTAACACTAGTAGCTAACCGCTAACAACTAGCCTAATAACTGCTGCCAAAGGAAAGTGATTGATAGCCATTCCTCAGTCAGATCAGCTTAACCCTATGAGATGATATATGAACTAGTGTTAATAGTGTTAGCAATTGTGATGGCTATGGTTTTGGAGAGAAAGGGTCTGTACTTTCAGTTTTATATTTCTAATGTTTCTGGAGTACTATCTGTCTGAGCCTTATCTACATGGGTTTTCAAGTCAAGCTCACGCTAAGTTGTGTAACATTGACTTTAAATCTGGCCTACAGACTATAATGTACTTTGACTCATTGTGCACTTTTGAAAGCAGATAGGTCTTTTATCTTTACCTGACTATTTACTTGAGTAAGTAGTCAGAATGTTCTTATGTTTCAACTATATTGCAGTATCTCCTGTAGAACCACTAATGTGCAAGCCAAACAAGCAACGGGTAGAATCTACATCCATAACAAACTGAAAAAGTCCACCATACTCCAATATAACGAACTAAAATGTCATAAGTGTGAAAACATTTTTTATTATATTCTCAAAGTGAAACATTCTTAAGAATACATTTGTAAACTGACATAATAAGCACAGCAACACAGTACAAACCCGAACTTTAACAAGCAAAAAAACCCTTTTAGGGTAAAGATGTAGCTTACACTCCCATGAAAAAAAAAGACAGAAAGGAAAGAAAAGGGCCAAGCCCAAAATATAATAGTTATTGATGGTTTTGGTCTAGTCAGAGTCCAGATTTAAACCCTATAGAGAATATTTGGTCTCATATTAAATACAAACTAGCTTGGCACTGTTTTTCAGCTGTTTGAAGCCATCAGTGCTGAGTTAGTATGCTGAACAATATTGAATTTTCTTTCTGCGAAAAGTTGTCAACAAGTTTACCCACAAGTCTTCAACATGTAAAGAAATCAAAGGGAAAAGTTATCCTATATTATTTTACCTTTTTTTTTATAATTATTTGTTGTTAAGATCATTAAAAGCTTTTTGGGCTCATTAAAAGCTTTTTGGGCTCAGCTCATTTTTTACATGGGGGTGTATGCTGTTTTTTTTATTTTTATTCTCAATATGTTCAATATATTCTTTTCAATAAAAAACAATATAAAGTTTTACTGAGAAGTTCAGTCTCCACTTGACAAGCCTGTATCCCAAAACATTTCAAAAAGGCACAGAGAAAATAGTTTTGCACATTTTAAAATTCGTCATCTAGAAACACAGTGACACGACAGTCAAAGCACTACACATATATTGTCCGGAAATGCCAGGCCTACATTACTTCTTCTATGCTTGAAGATAATTTCTTACGCCAAACAACCAGCCTACTATTTGATGGGTGTGGTTATGTAATGTTCTGGTTTTTGTTTGAAGGTCTTTGTGGCAGCAGTATTAAAAATGGGCCTGCCAGTTTTGGCAATTAATTATTGGGGTGTTTACACATCCTTGTCCTTGATAAAGTCCTTTATGTATCCAGTTTAGAAATGTACATAGCAGGCAGGCATTGTAGCTGTTGGGTCAGCTTCCTTCAACACAGAGTCAGTCAGAGGGACATGAACTTCTACCTGCAGTAGTTTGGTCCCATGGTAAGACTGAATCATTCATCAATGTAATGCTTTTTTCCCATTCTCCCCATAACCTCGGCCATCTTCACATCATGTAAGAACAATTATTAGAAATTATGAATTAGAATGAGGTGCAAATTTTAGCAAATTACAATTAAAATGGACACCACAAGTGAATATGTAATCAACACAGTAACTGAGATGTGGATGTGAGAAAGTACTGCAAATATTTATTGAATGAGCAATTTGCAAACATGTGAGAAATGAATTAGCTGTAAATGCACTTCACGGACACTCAATAACCTGGATATGCTTAGTAGACGCTGAGAGCATTGAAATGTAAGAATCTCTTGACGTTATTAAAGGAATATGCATGACAGCAGTAAGTTCAATGCACTAATCCACTACAAATGAAGTCAGTGATAACTTGCATAATGTTGCTCAAACTGATGTTGACTTTAATTTTATTTGTCCGATGGAGCCAGATTTCTGTTCAGCATGGAATCATATTGATTTTAAAACACCAGTGAGACTTCCCTTAAAATTAGCATCAAATTACAATATCTGAGCAAAATTAGCTCAGAATATCCAGGCCTAGAGGCACTTACTGTACCCGACTTCCTAAGTTCCCAAATGCCATTGTCAGTATATTGCATATCTGTCCATATAAAAAAGAAAAACAAAATCATTCCCAATTGCACTGCATAGTAAATGAGTGCAAAAAGCATCTAATACCCTACTACAAACAGGTGCATAAAATCCTGATGAGGAAAAGTGCTAAAATTGCATAGTTTTACAAAATGCATTTAAATGTACCTAGTAAAGAAACAGCTAGGCTTCTACTGGTTTTCTATCAAGTAGACAGTATCACACACTTGAATATGTACAGAAGTATTACACACTTGATAATAGCATGTGACTTTGGTGTATGATGATTCCCTGGTCCTGTCTACCAGCGTGGGGAAGAGTGGGGAGTCCTATCCACCCAGGGTAACAGAGTTGGGGCAAAGCCGGTGGTTAATCCTTACTACCACCTGCTGCATATGACTCATGCACTGTGCTGCTCTTTATGGTTCTGCTCAATTTTGCTTCCTGGTTGTTCACCAACCTCACCACTGGCCTGGAACTTCCCATAGCCCCAGTTAGAGCTAGAGTTATTTGTGGTGATGGAACAGGTGGGCCTCCGCAGGATAAAGCGGCCCTTTACACGAGGAACATTGGCCTGGCCACGCCCTCGGGGCTCTGCCCACTTCCTCTCTCCCTCGCCATCCTTTCTGTCTTGCTACAACAAACAGGGGACAGAAAGAAATATGCACATATCAGTTAAGATCAATCCAGACTCCTTGTAAATCAAAGAATTTCTTAAGTTTGCAGAATTGCAGAGTTGGTTGGAATGGTACAGTACCAAACCTCTATCAAAGCATTTAGCACTAATGTACATTATTTAGTTTTTTGTTTACTAAAGTTGACTCACAGTAGCCAGCTATGTCTATGATTGTGTGTAAGTCATAAGAAGAGCTTTCTGCATACCTAAGGATGATCTAAAAGGACAAATCTTGATCAACATATCCATATTTTACTGCTGTTTTTATTATTATTCCATTTGCAATCATGCTCCCAGGCCCCTTTGGTAGCCAGGGCTCTGAGCTGTAGCCATTAAAGTCTATTAGGATAACACAGCATTGACAATATCAAACATCAATCAGACTCACTCACAGGGAGACCTCATAATTGTAAAAGAAAAGTTTCTAAAGTGACCATAACTTACCAGGTAGAACTGCCTGCTTTTGGGCATATCTCCTGAGCCCCAGTCCTCAATTTTGGGCTGCACTGGCACGTAAGTATTGCTATTGCCATTAGCATTGTTTCCAAAGGAATTCACTCTGTTCCATCCTCTACCCTTTACTCTGAACTGCTGCTAAAAGCATAAAAACAGAAAACATAAAATTCAGAAATACATAAGACTTTGCCCTTAAAGAACACCAAAGCGCTACAGTAGACTTACAAATCCCCCATGTGTCTGCTCCCTCTCCATGGGCCCAGTGTGTTCTCTGAGCTGCAGCTGAGCTTGACTGAAGCCCTCTTCCATGAACTCAACCTCTTCCTCTTGAGAAAGGGAGGATGAAGAGGAGGAGGAAGAGTGAGTACGCACTCGTTTTTTCTTGCTTTTTCTGAAGGATGAAACAAAAGCTTACATGAAACAACATGATTTCTCAGCATAATGCCAACATTTTTTTCCTCAGGCAGAGCCTTGATGATTTCTTTGTTCTGAGTTTAAACCACATGCAGAAATCTGACATTTATTCATTTTAAATAATAGTTGTAATTCATTTTAATTAATAGCTGTAAATCACAATTATTATTCACAATTATTATCCCCTAGCTAGACTTTCCATATAGTCCCATATTACATTAAATATTCTAAAGAACTTACTTTGATTTTTTGTGGTGCTTGGAGGATTTCTCAGTGGATCTCTCCACACCTGACTCAGATTCCCCTGATTCTCCTGCCCCTTCCTGTTTGTCATTTGTTTCTCCACTTAAGTACTTCTTGCGTCGCTCAATATCCAATCGAAGGTCCATTGAATCGCCCTTCAGTTGTTTACCATCAACCTGTGTTGAGGAGACAGAAAGATGTTGTGGCCAGACTAAAGATTAGTGCTGTGCTCCTGTGTCCTGCTGCAAAATCATATGGGATGGGACCAAGACACAAGACTCTACAAATGATTTAGTCATGCAAGTGGACCTCCGAACCTATTTGGCACTAATAGAGAGCTTTCATTGAACAGAGGGCTTTAGTAGTAAGCCTACACATGATAAAAAGCCTCAAGACCTCAGAGGTCCTAAAGACTTCATCTTCCATTCACTTTGCCTTCCACAGCTTACACAGTATTGAGAGAACAAGCATCGGCAGAATGTGACAGAATAAGTTACCACAGCACAAATACTTTCATTGGTGCAAATGAAAGTATGTTACGCTTTTGTCTGGCTTGGATTGCTCTTTTCAGGCTTTGGAGAAGAATACTTACTATGAAGTTTGATAAGAGTCCTTTGATTGGCTTTGACATGGGAGCAACTGGTCACTTCCATTTATGACCTCTCATTTCTTGACTCAACTGCCTTAGGAAGGCTTGTACCCACAGTTAATCATAACCATCAATTGTTGTGGGGGGAATATACAACACAATAAACTGAAAGTGTCTCTTTGTCACATCTCACTTTGATTTAGCAGTGAGCTTATGTCTCTCTTGCAAGAGAAAAGCAGGGGTTTAGAGAGAGAGAGAGAGAGGGGACGCTAAAGATGCTCTGGCTGGCTCACTCTCGCAGCATTCTTTTCCAACATACGTCATATGTCAAAATGTTCTGTCACCTTGAAGCTGCTATCCACGGAGCCTTTCAACTCATCAAACAGGAGAGAGTGCCTCTTAAAAGCACTGGGAGAAACATCAATTCTCCTGTGAAAAAAAGATCAAAGAGAAAGGAGTTTTGGAATTTGTTCCAAGGACCTCAAGGCTCCTTGGGAGTTTTCATGTGGATATGGATCCTCTCAGATGAAGTAAAATAATGTTTCTGTATTGAAATGAATCAGTTTACCAATGTAAGCATAATGCAAAGATGTGTCACACGTGTTATACCTATGTATCTCTGGACTCTTTCTTTGCTTCATCATTTCTTTCTCAGCAGCTATTCTTTGGTACATGGCAAATCGATCGTTTAGAGTCATTCCGGAGGAAGGGAAATGTTGAGCTGTTAAAAAGGACATCTTTTTGTTATTGATTATAAGCAAATAAAAAACAACTTATTATAAGATAAATATAAACACAGATACAACTCAAACCAAAACAATAATGGGATACAAACATGGTAAAGTAGAACATACCACCTTCAAAACAAAAATTATTCCTTACGATTTTTGAGATAACATCATTGAATATCAAATCAAATGACCACTAAAACCTTTGTACAGTTCCCAAGTAGTGGGAGATTAGTTAAACCGTGAATATTACTGATTTTCTCTTTTTCTTTGGACAAAAACCTGTACTGAAAATGTTTTAAGTCAATTAAGGGGTTAAGAGCAGTGTTTATTAATTAGTTGGACCATATATATATATATATATATATATATATATATATACAGTGGGGTGCGAAAGTTTGGGCAGCCTTGTTAATTTTCCTGATTTACCTTTATAAATCATTGATTGTTTGGATAAAAAAATTCCGTAAAATATATCATATAGGGGACAAACACAGTGATACTTGAGAAGTGAAACGAAGTTTATATGATTTACAGAAAGTGTGCAATAATTGGTTAAACAAAAGCAGGCAGGTGCATAAATTTGGGCACTGTTGTCATTTTATTGATTTCAAAACCTTTAGAACTAATTATTGGAACTCAAATTTGGTTTGGTAAGTTCAGTGACCCTTGACCTCCATACACAGGTGACTCCAATTATGAGAAAGGGTATTTAAGGGGGGCAATTGTAAGTTTTTCTCCTCTTTGCATCTTCTCTGAAGAGTCGCAGCATGGGAGTCTCAAAACAACTTTCAAATGACCTGAAAACAAAGATTGTTCACCGTCATGGTTTAGGGGAAGGATACAGAAAGCTATTTCAGAGATTTCAGTTTTCAGTCTCCACTGTGAGAAACATTGTGAGAAAATGGAAGACCACAGGCACAGTTCAAGTCAAGGCTCGAAGTGGCAAACCAAGAAAAATCTCGAATAAACAGAAGCGAAGGATGTTGAGAACAGTCAGAGTCAACCCACAGACCAGCACCAAAGACCTACAACATGATCTTGCTGCTGATGGAGTCACTGTGCATCGTTCAACTATTCGGCGCACTTTACACAAGGAGATGCTGTATGGGAGAGTGATGCAGAGGAAGGCTTTTCTCCGCCCACATCACAAACAGAGCTGCCTGAGGTATGCTAAAGCACACTTGGACAAGCCAGCTTCATTTTGGAATAAGGTGCTGTGGACTGATGAAACTAAAATAGAGTTATTTGGGCATAATAAGGGTCGTTATGCATGGAGGAAAAAGAACACAGCACTCCAAGAAAAACACCTGCTACCTACAGTAAAATTTGGTGGTGGTTCCATCATGCTGTGGGGCTGTGTGGCCAGTACAGGGACTGGGAATCTTGTTAAAGTTGAGGGACGCATGGATTCCAATTAATACCAGCAGATTCTGGAGATCAATGCCTAGGAATCAGTGACAAAGCTGAAGCTGCACCGGGGCTGGATCTTCCAACAAGACAACGACCCTAAACACTGCTCAAAATCTACTAAGGTATTCATGCAGAGGAACAAGTACAACGTTCTGGAATGGCCATCTCAGTCCCCAGACCTGAATATTATTGAAAATCTGTGGTGTCACTTAAAGAGAGCTGTCCATGCTCGGAAACCATCAAACCTGAATGAACTAGAGATGTTTTGTAAAGAAGAATGGTCTAAAATACCTTCAGCCACAATCCAGACTCTCATTAGAAGCTATAGGAAGCGTTTAGAGGCTGTTATTTCTGCGAAAGGAGGATCTACTAAATATTGAGTTAAGGTTTTTTTTTGGTGCCCAAATTTATGCACCTGCCTAATTTTGTTTAGACAATTATTGCACACTTTCTGTAATTCATATAAACTTCGTTTCACTTCTCAAGTATCACTGTGTTTGTCTTTCGCACCCCACTGTATATATATAATGTGTGTGTATATGTGTATATATACATATATAGCAATGTATAGATATAAAATCTGAATCTGGCGACCAGAACTGTATTGTTGTAATAGCAGAGAGATTTCAGTCACCTTTAATATGATGGACAATCGCAACTACATGCTGAGCAAAGAGCTCTGAGGGACTCCTGCGTAAATTATTACAGGGGAGGTGCTGGAAGACTGAGTGATAGTCCTGTTCCTTTTTATCAGGATGCACAAAATCCATAGCATTCCTCCAATCATTAGACAAAACAGACGATCTGTAAGACAAAAAATAACAGTTACAGGCAAGTGTTTGCGTAATTTGAAAAAAATACACAAAGCTAAACAACAAATGAAAACTATGAAAGGTCATTATTAGAATATTTTCATGCATCAGTCTTGACAGTATCTGAGTAATTTTAAAGCAAACTAAAACTAAACACACTGATCAGGAAGGTCACACATAGTCTTTGAATAAATGCTGGAACAAACTGAAAACAGAAGAGTAGATATAAGGTAAATGATGTTAAGAATAAAAAAATTAGATTTGCTCGCTCAGACAGTTGGTCTGGTCTGTTCTTGAATACTGACTCAAGTTCACTTGGTTGGGCAGTTGGTCTGGTTTGTTCTTGAAGAGTTCTAATTGTCATGTGTTCAACTATTTGCTCAAGTCTACACTACAAAATTATTCTTGCAATGCGATTGGCATCCAGCCAGCATCTAATCTCCTTTTAGATGCTGCCAGTGAAAGAGAATGTTGTGCTTCATTGGGAAATAAGATCCATTTTGTCAGGCAACACGTTTCTCTGCACAATGCGAAACTTGGCCAACCTTACTAGATGCAAATACTGTGGATTAAAGGCATAGTTATGCTTCGTTTTAACTACGCTTAATGTGCGCAAGATGGCTGCTGTGCACACCCTGTAGTCATTTGGAGCATTGTTTTTTCCAAGATGCAGCACCAACATAAACAGTAAGGACAATATGCTACAAAGTGACAGGAGGTCAGCAGGAAAACTGAACAAACAATGACAATAACCACTTCTGTCATCTGTTTCTGCTATATTCTCAGGATAAAATCAAGGCACCTTGATCATTGTTGACCTTGTTGTGTAAAAAAAGACAGGGATGTTCTGCCTGGAATATAATGTCTAGTGGATATAATTTTTAGCCATTCAGATACACCAAAAGTATGCAGAGTATGCATACAATGTTGCTTTGGTAGCAGCTGTATGAGCACACATACATGTAGATAGAGTGTAACACTAGCCTTATGCTATTCCTGAAATCTAGAACATATAAGAACATATTTACCTTGCCAGGTCATCGCTAAGAGAGTCCATTCTCAGACTAAGCTCCATCCCTCTTTTCCCAGAAGGTCTGGGAGGGGACTCATCACACATATTCAAGAATATCTCTTGCTCCCGGTTCTCGGAGCTCCTTCGAGAAAGAGCTGCTGCGTATGTGGGAGAGGGACTCAATGTAGTTTTCTCCTTTTGTTTCACCTTTGAGGGCCTCTCAGGGGAGAAGTCCCTAAACTTACGTGCAAGCTTCTCCCTCTTAGATAGAGCAGCCAAAAAGCTTGCAGCTCTCTCCTGCTTCCGACTTTGCAGAAAAGCCTCAAGCTCATCATCCCATGCTATGTCCTCCAACCTGCTGACATGTTCTTCAAACAGTTCACGAGCAGAAAGCGCCACTTTGCTTTTGCGCTTGGTAGTGGTGTTCTGCATGTCCCTTGTCTGTACACAGGACTCCATCTGCTCATCCTCGTCTTCCTCTCTGTTTTCACACAGGAACTGGGGCCTGTTCATGAAACTACTGGACGGCATGTCAGCTTTAACACTGTCATCATGTTTGTATTTCTCATTCTCCCTTTTGTCATTATCTGCAGGCCTAGTCGCCCCAAGACTAGAGGAATGATCAAAGATGCCCTCGGACTTGGTATTCTTTTTTTCTCCCATTGCTTCCCCATTGGTTGCCACCTTCTGTATGCCATTCTCTGCAGCAGCCTGTTTTTTACTCTTCTGCTCCTCTAAGAATCTAATCAGTGAAAGAGAGAAAGACTGGTAGTTAATTATGCTTTCATAGCCTTGAAACTTTTTAAATAGGCATATGTGGACTTCTGCAGTCTTGAGGTCTAATGGCAATTGAACATGTTTTCAAGATACAGTAAAACATGACAAGTCTGTATTTGAATAGTACTAAATGGTCTCTAATTATTACATGAAACTAGGAGTGTTTGAGAACATCCATTTGTAAAGTAGGCCAGACACTCTTAACAGCCATCTGCGCAACAAATCTATGTAGGCCTATGTTGCAATCCTTTGAGTAATGTCGTTAATACCTTAAGCTCAGCATAACTGTTTTACCCAATGAGCCAACATCTGTCTATGTTATATGAGTTTCCAAAACTTAAAAAATATCGTCGTCAGTGAATGTTGATCCTAGCCATTTTTATGAATTTTTGAGAAAAACATTCATCAAACTACCACTTTGTTGTTCTATAATTACATAGTGTGCCATAAATGCATGTCTCAACATGACTGTTCTCCTAAATCTGGTTCCAACATTGGCGACTTTTACTCTTGACTCACAAGAAACCCACAAGAGCCCTGTAATGTGTTATTTCCATTCATACTCTGACTCAAATAACAGGCTAAGGAAGAAAACAATTCTACAGATGGATGTTTCAGTCTTGCAGGAAAAGCTGTTTTAACTTTTGAAACTTTCCCCAACTTGCAATGAAATGAAAACAATTCCTCTCTTTCTCTACTCAGTTACAATGAGACCGTTCATACCTTGCATTAACATGTGTTTCATGTTTGAATCGTATCTGGATATATTTTGGCACTCTGCAGATGCATTTTCACGTACATAATTGTATACAGGAATGGAAAACGCATTCCATTTACACATCTCTTCCATTTTTGGTTTCTGAGTATCTCTGAATGTGTTTTGAATGATCTGATTGTAATCCGATCACAACCCGTCCAGAATGTGTTTCATGCACTCAAGTGAAATCTGAACATGATCCAATAATCAAAAACGCACATTGATGCAAGGTCTAAACAGCAGTGTCTCTCATCTACACCTAAGCTCCCAAAACAAACCAATTTAGTAAACAATTCATAAAACACACCAAAACATGGACTAACATTGAGATATATTTCTTTTTAGTCATATTTCTTTTTCTTATATTTCAAAATATGGATTAACATCAAGTTATATTTCCTTTTGCTTAGGACAGACTTACTTTTTAAATGCCAAGGAGATGGCTACTGTATCCTCATCTAGCTGGTCAGCATTTGAAAAAAGCCCAAAGCTCGAGAAAACTGTAGTCGGACTCTTCTTCGACAGGCTGTTGGAAGACGGTGCAGAGGTCACAGTCTGCCAGCAGGTGGAGCCATTGCTGCTTGCACCTGAACTCACAGGCATAGGCCCAGATTCGCTGGTGGCCATATCACTCTGGCCAACAGTAACAGCAGAGTTAACATGTGGACTGGCCCTCTTTGGGCTGCTGTCGTGGTTACCGGGGACCAGACAAGTCTCAGGGGCTCTGTCTGCAACTGGACCCCGCTCTGCTTCTAAGGGGCACCCTGCTTGCTCTGCAATTGTCTCATCTCCTTTTCCATTTTTCAGGTTTTCCTTGGGTGCAGGCACCCCCTCTCCTGCAGCTTTGCAAATGTGCTTAGCAGAACCAGACCTTGGTCTGGAGGAGTTGGAGGAAGAGGAGTGATGTGAATGTGGTGAAGAAGACCTGTCAGAACGACGGGAATGGCTGCGGGACTGAGTAGGGCTGTTTGAACTTTTCTTGGGCGAGCGTGAACGAGACCGCCCCCTTTTAGGGCTGTGGTTATGCTGCTGCTGCTGCTGCTGCTTTTGTTGCTGCTTTTGCTGTGGATGCTGCCGAAAGTTTTGCCAGTTGTTTGACCTGTTATTGTATCCTCCTCCCCCTCCTCCTCCTCCTCCTCCACGCTGAAAACGGCCACGGAAGAAACCCCGGCCTCGCCCCCGGAAGTAATAAGGCCTCCGCAAGCCTCTGTGGTAGCCCCGGAACTCACGATGGTTCTGAAAGTCCCGTGGGTGCTTCCGATCCCGGTTATGAGCTGGAGAATGGGATCTTGACCGAGAGCGTGATCTAGAGCTTGGACAGAACAAGAGGAAAAGCCTCACTGAGTATTTAAAGCTCAATGGAGAAAAGAAATTGCACACAAGTAACTTTCTAGAGCATTATACTCAAGAGAAATAATTTGAAAGACAAAGCATTATCGTCAAAAAACGTAAAAAAAGGTAACTGCTTTATCCAGCACCACATATCTTGTTTAAAAAACAGCAACATTGTAAACAATATTCAGTGTTTCAGTATAATTATTTTTAATCTTACTTTTTACTAAGACTGGAATGAGTCTGAAGAGTACAGAAGAGCAGCTGCAGAGTCTATTTTAGTCCACAAGGTGGCCCTGGAGTACCACTTAAATCACAATCACCATTTTCTGTTGCAGTCTGTCTGCTCCAACACTTATTTGTCCCTGACAAGCATTGGAAAATGAACCAGACTACTTTCGCACACCTTGGATTCTCTTAATTATGAATTTCATCCTGTCAGTGGATAATTCCAGGCAGAACGTGTACATCCCAAACCGAAACTTGTGTCGACGCAGTCCATATGGAGAATGTATTACACTGACTGAAATCACAGGGACAACAGTAGGAGGTTCGAAGTCTAGCACATTCATCCTCATTATTTTTCCCCCAGCAACCCTGGTAAAAAGCGAAAACTGAAGAAAAGCCACTTTTAAGGTAAAGGAAAAAAGACCAAACAGGTAATACGTTTTTTTGTGTGAGCCTGCATGACCACCATTTTTCATTTAGTCTGTGCACTTAGGCAATTGTGCAGTTGATTTACAACAATTTAGCAAAATATAAATGAAATAATCATAACTCTGTTTATGGCTAAACAGATGCAGAGCACAAATAACAAACATGCACTTATAGATGCCCCAAATATACTCACCCAGTGAGCTTTTTCATTGGAATACAGAGTTAAAGGGTAGGACGCAGAACAGCATTGCACTCTCACTGAGAAGGAGAGGAACTCTGCATCTCTTCTACTGAGTGCGGGTGGAAAGAGCCAGTCACATGGGTCATATGGGAAAGATTTCCACTCAGACTGGGAAGCAAAGAGGAGGTTCTCTCACTGCCAAATATACCACACTACCACTGCCCAGAAAACTCAGCTACAAGTAACAAGAAAGGGCCTTATTCTGAAAGACCTTATGGTGAGTTTTGATCCATAACGTGAGAGAATTTAACAGGGTGCTATAATTTGTAATTCTAGGTACCAAAGATTTTCTGACAGATTTCTACAGATTTTCATAGACAAAGTAGCCAAAACATTTTGGCTTCACTGGACCACAAGAGGCCAATAAGGAAATCAGGGACATATTAATTAACAATGAAGGAGCTACGCATTCTTCTCATGAAATCCAAACATAGTCTATACATTACAAATTTTGGACTTCATCCAACAAGCAGTACGTCAAAATCAAAATTTCCCTTGCAAATTAGAGATAAACAGTTTTGCATGTGGCTGCAGTCTATTTGCATGATTTACAGGACCACACAGTTCTGTTAAAAAAACACTGGCAGACAGAAGAATGTGCCAAGGATTATGTGGCATCTACAAAAGCAGCAGTGTCATCACCTTGTCACAACCACCCCAGTACACATTTTGGAAAAAGTGCAGAAGATCCATTTACAGGCTACTAAAAGAAATCTACTATCTTGTGTCCACACGAACCAGCTTGAAGCAAAAGCAGGAAAGTACCTTTTTTATTAAGGAACTCAGAAAGTTTAGTAACCCTCACAAATCCACAACCCAAGTATCAGACTTAATGGCATGGTGAAGGAACTGCTACAGACAGGATAAATCTTGCTGACTAAGATGAACCCCTAAGCCAAATCTGACATTTTCCGCAGCAGTCTCAGCAAGGGGAGTGCCCAGCTGAAGAAAGTTAATAAATGGGGAGCTCAACCATGAGGGAGAATAGCCTTTCGATTTGCTATGCTACAATAGAAAATAAGTTTAACCATGAAATGACTCATTTAAGGGAAAATGAGCATCAGCTTTGCATGTTTTGGACTGCTGAACAATCTCTGTGCTTTGGAGTGAGCAGTGAAAAATTCAAACCAATATAAAAGGCTCTGCAGTTCATAGTGGCGTCTGCCAGGCCTTAACAATTTGAATCAGTTAATGAATTCTCAAAATGCCATGTTCAGAATTAGAAAGAGGTGTTCATTACCCTCATGCTCACCACAGTAGCAGATACTACAACACTGTGCAGTTGATCGTCACAGATTTTCTGTTCTCATCATGATCCACTATCAGTATTTCTGCTTTTTCTGATTACTACAGAAACCACATTTGGAAATCCAATAACAGTAAAATTTCAAAACTGTATGTTTACAGTAGTTGCTTCAGAATTTTTGATTAAATACATAAATAACGGGAAAATGTGTTTCTTGTAAGCGCTTCTGGTTCTCTGTTTCTACAGAACATACATCATTGAAACTGGGGACTGAAACCTTAACCTGAAACTATGAAACCTTACCATGGTCATCGTTTTCGCTGTTTTAGAGTTTAAAACTGAAATTATTGACCATCTGTGTGAACAAATGTGCATAATCAGTTTTCATTTACTACTGCACAGGCCTTTTGTGGAAACAGCACAAACAGCCTTCCCTATCCAGTGGCTGTTAGGTGTATGCATGAGCAGGGAATTACCCGTAGCGGTGCTTCCTTGAGTGGGAACGGGAGCTGCTGCGAGATCTGGAGTGGGAGCGGGACTCGGAGCGTGATCTGGACCTGGAGACTGAATGTGAGTGTGTTCTTGAGGAAGATCTCTGTGTCTTAGACATCACTGGATAGGTGTCAAACAGGTGCCTGTCAGAGTACATATCAGCAGTCAGTCCAAGCCATTAGCAAACATTAGCTTGGGATTATAGAAATTTGACTAAACAAACTTTAAACAGCAACAGCAAACATTGTAACATGAGCATTGATGATTAGGTTCTTCCCTTAGAATTTGACTACAAAATCTTAAAGTTGATGCGGCTAAACTTTTGTATGTACCCTGTAAAGAGAACTGTCTAAGTTGCAATTGAAAGATTATGGCTGAAACTGAGAAGCATTAGTTTCCATATGTGTGTATTTAGCTTAACCCTTTAACAAGCCTCGAGAGTGCATGCTGACCTAAAGTTTTATTACACACTTGTATGACCTAAGAAGAGCTCCATTAGTTTGCATTGAAGTCTGTGTATTTGCTGGCTTATAAGCCTTCGTATGAAATAAACCTAGATTGCTAAGGGGTTAAACTGACAGTGGAAACCAGAGAGCAGAGAGTTATTTATGTACCTGACTCTTACAAATGCATTCTTTTGTAGCTTCTGTTCCAAATTTGAACCAGCTTTACAGCAGGTCTATTCTAACAGTGTTAATTTTCATATGTATGCAAAATAAAAAAAACATTTGAAAATGACACTCACAATTTAGGTATGTTGACAATAAAACTGAACTGCAATGCGTTTTTTCATTATGTTGAATGGAATTTTCGCCAATATTTAGTAAAGCTTGTCCAACGTTGCAGTAGTTGCTACGACAGAATACAGATGCAGCATAGACTGGTAGTTATAATGGTTTATGAGCACAACAGGGACAGAAAAGACCTTAAATTTCTTTTCAATTCAGAGCACACAGACCCAACAAATTCTAATGTTGGTAGTTTTTAAGAATGTTTAGAAAAATAACCAATAAACCAAATCAACCTGAGTGGATGTGGAGAATACTCTAGAGTCTCCCAGCAATCACTTACAGGTATGTAATAATAACCCAGCAATTGAGTTAGTTGGTGTTTGTTGGATCACCGTTGTCTGGAGAACTGCATTTGTTGTATAATGTGACATACATCATTCAGTGCCAAACAACCTGAACAGTGCTGCCAGTCACTTTACATCACAATTCAAAAAGATGTTCATTTGAAAGAATGTTGCACTTCATTCAACAATATGTTCCTGAGTTTTTTCTTAAGTTTGTTCTTGAGAAAGGTCCTAAGAAAAAGTCTACATCAGATTCTTGATGTGTTCTTAAACCGCAGAATTGTTCGCAGTTCGCACCTTTATGCACTTGAGTGTGTGTAGATTCTGTTCTTACCTAAGAACAAATCCCCAATAAGAAAACACTGGAGAATGCCACAATATTTGTGAAAACTGCATTAGTGGGATTTAAGAAGAACTTTCTTCTTAAGAATAGTTGGTGAATGAGGCCCACTGTTACAGTACATTCAACACACAGTTTACAGTCTACAGCAAATGTGAATTTGGCTCAAGAAAAACAGAACTTGAAAACACAATGTTCATTGATAAGAGCTCACCTGCATATCTAAGAGAGCACAATAGGTTTGGCAGGACAAAGGCATGGTAAACTGCACTGCTCTGTGCTGGCATCAGTGCTTTGTTGGCTCTTCAGTTTTATCATGCATGTATTTCCAGAGGTGTTGAAAAGGGCCCCTGGTGCTGGTGTCTATCACCAGCATCCACCAGACCTTTTAATGTGCTGCAGGTTCAACTAGCCAACTAGTTACCACTCCATAGTACCACTTTTAACTCAGTAACAAAGTACTATATGATTTCACTAATTATATGGTAATTATAATTATGTCACCAATCACTAATTTTATGGTAATTCTATGGTAACTACATACAGCAAATCATTCAACTCATTAGTTGTTTGACTTCATAAAGTCAGCTTTAAACCTGGCATTGGCATTAACAGTGTGTTCAAAGACAAGAGAAAAGAACAGGCTACTTTGCACATGTTGGAAAAATTTGAAATTGTAGCATACTCACAATACCATAAAATGGTTACAGTGCATAAGACATGAGATATTAGCTCACAGTGTATCACTCTGTATAAATGAAGTGATTTTACTGGTAGCCAAATCAGTCAACCAAACTGGATCATAAGTCAATATTAAACAGACTGAAAATGGTAAAAATTAGCCCAATAAACAAGACAATTCAGTGTCACATAAAATGAAATGATTTAATAGCATTTATTGGTTGCTTAGAATATCTCACCTTTAATGTACACAGCTTTATTATCTATAAAAAAATAGATTCCTTCAGACCAATTTGGCAGCTGGTTAGTGAATATAAAACTGAAGACCAATCACTGAAAGCCAACATCTTTGTTCAACACGTGGTGGTCGTAGTGCATCACTCCTCTTTTGGTGCACAGTGAAAGAGATTCTGCTTATTTCCAGCTTTCTTCATTTTGGGTGGCTGTTGCTTTTGGCTTACAGTCCATAATTTCCTGCAGCCTCCAGACAGGGAGGCTTTTTGCTTAATGTACAAATTTACTGTACCAAGTTCAAAGGTGCTCCTCACTAGAAGCTTAACTTTTCATTTGTAGTCATCATGAAAAGTAGTCATGGAAATAAAACTAATCCACTGTCCTCTCACTGAGGGAGAGTTCATCAGAAAAATTCTAAGTAAGTTATGCTCATTGACAGTTTTTATCACAAAGACAATACACTAAGCTAAATGTGTTATCCCTTATGGATAATGAAGCATATGTTATGCACCAGCTCTTCTCTGACTTTCTTGAGGGGAAGAAATAGTGAGATCTTTTTTTAAGGTGGGAGAAACAGCCAGCAGTAGATTAGTAAAGAGCAGCTGTCTCCAGCATGTAGAATATGCTCCATAGTCTAATCACCAGGATTTGACATCTAAAAACGACTGTGTCAAACACCCCAGTAATCATACCCATGTGCTGTCATTACCCACACAAACCCAGCCTCCCTCCTTCCATCTTTCTCCCCTCTCCCCTGTCCTTCACTCTCTCATACTCTCTCTCTAAAACACACACCTCCCAAAAAAGGCAGCTGCAGCTCAAGCCTCCTCATCACCTGTTTCATCATGGGGGTGAAAGTTGATGCAGACAATGGTGGGGTAACCCGATATGCCAGCACTAAGCACCCACCACTCAATCAACTGCTCTGTCATTAAGACCAAGAGTGCCGCACAAGAAGGCGCAATCACATTTGCTATCTATAAGAAACAAATGGGGTCACAGCACCCCTTATTACAGGCCAAGGCAACTGCCAGTTTTACAAATCCTTCACCCAAACATGGATCAGATACAGCCAAACCTTTTTTTTAGGCTTTTCTCAATACACTACTAAAGCAAATAAACCAAACATGATTGAATTACACTCTTAAAAAAGATGACTCTTCAAGGGTTCTTTAGTAAAGAAAATGGTTCTATACAGAACCATAAACACTCAAAGGACCCTTTGCATGACTAAAGGGTCTTTACATCATGAAATGGTTCTTCAGATTGATGGAGAACCTGTTTAAAAAATGTTCTACATAGCTCCCAAAAGGGTTCTTCTGTTGTTACAACCTTGACATTGCTACAATAGAAGAACCCTTTTGGGTGCTATAGAGAACACTTTATATAGATAGAACCACTTCATCTATATAGAACCATTTTCTTTACTAAAGACCCCTTGAAGATCCATCTTTTTAAAGAGTGTACTCCAGTTCTGAGGTCAGGATAAGCTAGGTAGTTTTCAGAATCAAACTCAAATTTTACTACATCAAGCTTTTATTTTTATAAAAGGCACTATAACTTCATGACAGACCACACAGAGGTTTCCTCCTAGAACTTGGACCCTAAACTGGGTCTATTTACAGCACAATAGAGATCACACAAATCCCCAGATTCAGTGATACTTTTAAAGGCATTAAGCTTTTAACTTCTGCTTGAAGACAGGAATGACTGACTACTGTCCCTTTATCAGTATATATATAGACCTGTGACTCTTTAATGCAAGTTTTCTTTGCGTTATCATCACAGCTTATTTTTAGAAAGCTATTGTAACTTGAAGTGCAAGTCCTGGTTGTCTTTTTTCCCCACTTAGATCTAACCTTAAGCTGTGGGCTCCCCTGACGAAACCAACAAAATTTGGCAGATGCAGTGGTAAGAGAAAGCTGAGATACATTCCCTCACAATATGAGGGTCTCCCAGGAGTTTACCTCATGTTTCCATTTTCCATCAGAATTATCATCAGTTATATTTGACTGCTGATATATAATGTCATTACAGCATGGATTTTGATTGCATACTGCTGTAAATTGTTTTTAAATTGATTTAGCTTTGCTTCTGGCTGTGATGCTTTTAATTGTATGCATGGGACACTAAAAGTAGAAAGAGCTTCCTTACTTTTTTCTTATTTTTATATTTGTTTAACTTTATTGTAAATTTCACAGTCCCACGCAGGTCCCCTCAGTGCAGCATGGTGCTCAGTATGTCTGGCCCAGGATCTACTGCAGCTTTTACTGGTTGCTATTCAAAATCTCAAACCAAAGACTTCAAACACTGCATTGGTGCGACAGAAGGCTGTAGTTCAAAGTTAACCAATAAGCAACTGGTAAATGCGACATTCATCGCTTTATCGTCTCTAGGTTGACACTAATTAGGTGGTGATTATCTTGCCCTGAAACTTGCAAGGAATCATATATGACAGCAGGCATGTTAACAGCCCTGCTTTGACTGAATAAGGGCTCAGGCCTATGAGATGATGTACATAGTTAAATCTGTGGTAAGATCAGGCTACAAAAAGTCGTGACGCGCAGTTGCAGCTGTGCGTTACGGGTTTCCTTCAAGCAGCCAGCATGAAAAGGAAATATAAATTTGATTAACAGATACATCTGCATTGCATATCTACAGTAATATTCATCACCATGAAGCTCGATAGGAGTGAGCTTTATATCCACAGCGCCTGTGTAAACCCAAGTGCCTTAGTGAGTCAATGGCTTTGGCAACTGCGCATTACGCATGAAGTTTAACTGTAATATACTAGCAGTCAAATAAATACTCTACTGCTGTCAGCGGAATAACATTTAAATGGCAGACTATTTCAGCAGCAAAAAGCAATAGTTCTTAAAAGTACACTTACCGATAGTGTCCGTAACAGTGCACTGCTGATGCCAAAGTCGAATAATCTTCAAGAGGATCCCAAAGGCTTCTTTAGTCGCTGCTGCCGTTTCAAATGGAAACGCGTTCATCAACTGAGATCATCGTAGCTACTGTGAGCAAAGACATCAGAAGGGAAAAAAATCCAATTTGGTAACTTCGAAGAATCCACTTTCAGCTCTCAAAACACAAGCGCAACAACGAATATTACTGCCTCGTTTACTTCAACTGACAAATGATAAATGATCACACAACTGCGTCCTGAACTGCGCACAGCCTGAAATATAAATGTTGCATTATGCAAAAAGTCGCTGTTGAAGCTGTCCTCCCCTCTGAGGTGTGACAGAAGCCGTGCGAAGCAGCGCTACTACTAGACACGGAGCTCAGATTTCGTTTCTGGATCCTCTCCGTCAAACGCGTGGCTGACAACTTTCCCGCCCCTGACAGCCTTAAAGGGACAGGCGCCCTCAGTCCAGCTAATTAAAAGCGGCTGGTGGTCACTTTATCCTGCACAGCAAGAGCGCCTTCTTACGAGAATATGATATTAATCAGGAAAACGGGCACTGTCGCACGTTTGGGGCTGAGGTGTGATACTGGTCATTTTTTAAACTGAATTTACTGGCAGAGCTTGATATCGTAAGAGTTGAAGATCTTTTTTGGTGCTATATGAACTAAACCAAAAAGGTTCTCTATAGAACCATACAATACATTCTCCATCACTCTGAACAACCTACAGAGTCCTGCTGGTGACATACCATATTAATAAAAATAATGCGTGACCACACTTATTAAGGCGTGGGAATGAGATGATTAGGCCTTGACCATTGCTTAATAAGGCATGATCTCAATTCCACACCTTATTAAGTCGTGGCCACAACTTAATTATCTCGTTCCGACACCTTACTAAGCATGCATTAGGATCTCACTCTCACATGCTAATACAGCGTAGCCATGCATTGTTTTTATTTATACAGGATGTCACTAGCAGGGCTCCGTAAGAACCATATTTCACAATGCAGGAAACCCTTTAAGCATAAAGTGGTTCTGTACAGAACCATTCCCTTGAATGAAGAACCCTTGAAGATCCATATTTTTTAAGAGCGTATATTTAAATGCAGTACAAAACTATCTTTACACAACTACATATTGACTGTAGTATACAACTATTATCAATAATACCCTCTTTTCTAAATATGATATACATGTGCACACATACCAGGACATGAATTAAAACTGCAGTTTTAAAATTAGTTACGTTTTATCTTAAATACGAGAGTCAAAAGTCTTAACCACAGCAGTAGTTTAATTTTAGTTTTTAAAAAAAATATCAAAAGCTATTACTTAACCCCTTAAAATCCCAGGCTTATTATATACTAAGGCTTATTATTCAGTAACTACAGGGACTTCAGTGCAAACTGGCTGACCTATTCTTAGGTTATAGAAGTGTGTAATAAAACTTTGGTTGTGCTAGGTAGGCTAATTAAGGTAGGCTGATGTTAACTAACCTTACCACTAGTTAAATATAAATTTGTTGCATTTACCCTGGTTGACAGATATTAATGCAGTTCAACTAGCCCATTTAACATTTAAATAATGGAAAACCAAATAACAAAATTACATTGCTGTGAGGCTGATGGTCCTTTGCTGCTTCAGAAAAGTACTTTTGGTACCTGCTTTTACAGTAAGGCTGATGATATTGAATGTTTTGATGTATTCCTGTAATACTGTTGAAATTATATTATACATACAATAAGGTTTTTATACAGTATAATCTCCCTGTATTGTGAATGTTTTCCCAGAGTTTGACACAGGATGCTGTAAAACGGCAAAAAAAAGCAAAAACAGCAAAAAAAACAAAAAAAAAACAAAACAAAAAAAAACTGTTAAACTCATTTAGTGTATCATGCTGCCTTACTGGGAGCCGAAGCCTACTCTGCACCTAGTTTAACGTTTTACCAACAAAGTCACACAGTGGCAACTGGTGCAGCTGCTGACATGAGAACTGTCCCAAAAGGTGCACTTGTGGTCCTACAGTCCTCATTTGCACATGCCTGCAAGGCCATAAGGTGTCCCTTTTGCCATTTTGATGTGTAAATGGGTGTTAACGAGTGCTTTTAGTGCAACCTTCAGACTGCATTGATATAGTCTCGGCAGTTGCCTCATGCCCAAAATTCTTTGAGATATGGGCGAGGACCAGTCAGAGTGGTTGGGTTTGTTTACTGCTGTCTGACCAACAAGACAGACGGGAGTTAAAATGCATTTATTAATTTACTTAGTCATTAAGCTGTATTATGTTTGTAACCTGAATTGTGCCGTTGTAGAGAAGCAAATTAGCTCATTTAACATGTTAACTGTCACCCCGTTTTTGCCTAAAACAGCATATCCAAAGTAAAAAGGGGCACTGTTCCCACATACTTTGGGCTACAGTCATGGTCTTGGTCTCATTTGAAAGGGACTAGAACAAAGACGTTTATTCCACCTGACTCATAGATCTCTAAACTTATTTCTGGCTCTTGCTATGTTATCAAGACCACATGTTATGGATTATCATGTATCTGTGGATTGCGACGAGGCTTTGAAGGTAAGGACGCACAGATTTGCTAGCATTTGTTGATTTGGTGCTTACGTTGCAAATGAGACAATTGTTACTGCTGTGAATAATGGATCATGAAATGGCTTGTGGGAATCAAATCCTGAGCTTTATAACAGTATATTGCATCACTGTATCGCTGGACGATTTGATGCATAAAAATGATGTTAAAAAAACGGATGTAAACACTTCCGATGGAAGTGTGTCGATAGCAGTAAACTGATCTAGATAAGGTCAAAATAATTACGACTGATAACATCAGCCCACTGGGTACAGCACATGAAGAGCCTTTTAGTCTGTATGAAATGTTAATTTTTAAACCTCTACACCCACACATTGATGATGTCACCATTCTGCACAGGGCTATGGTCTTCTTTCCGCTTCACACAGTAACACAGGTTGAGAGCTTAGATTGCTTTCATATAGCAAATATGACATGATTGGAGCTTCAGGATCTTACAATATTCTCCCCAGCCTATGGGAAAACGTTACTTACAAGCAGCACTTCACTATCACTGCCTTATCAGCTTAGGTTGTCCTACTGCAAATTTCCCAAGTCCTTGCTTACTTGATGACATCCAGCTTGGATACTCTGCTGCTGGTTGGCCAAGTACCCATGGGTTAGCTAAACTGAGAAGAATCCAGCACAAACGCAGGCACAAAAGAATTTTTTTTACCTGTAGCAGAGGAGACTACATGTTGATGATACACAGCAGCTGGTTACCATACTACCCCAAATGCATTCAATTCATAGCTTCAGTGAAATGGCCACTGTTCCTTAAAATAATTTGTTCTTCTCCTATTGTATCACTCACCCTTAGGTTTCAACGGCAGTCTATAATGGAAAAAAAAACATTTAGAATCATATATGAATTGTACAACAGTGTGCTTTCACTTTGGCAAAAGTCATGGAGCAGGGACTACCAAGGAGCAGACGCACTTGGTCAGCAACTACAGGGACGGGGGTATATGTATAAAAAAAGGTGACCACCAGTGCACAAGTCAAGATCTTATACCAAGAAAGTCCTGTGGTGAAATGCTGTGTGAGAAAGACAATAAAACAAACACCCTCCTTGCATAGAACACATATTGCAGAAAATGTATTGCAAATTCAAGTAACTGACAACAGGTAGCAGCACCACCAAGGGAGGAGTGAATGTCAAGCAGGAGGAGTGAGATTCCACACTCAGATTAAGGCAGTGCTGGCTAAGGCCATCAGAGTTCCTGGACCAGGCCACAAAAATTCACTCAAAAGCTGCTCAGCAGTAGAGCATGGGCCCAGTGTTGCGGTAGTTGTGGGAAAAGATTTGGAGCTGTGTAGCCAAATGCCTAAAAGGAGGAGTCAGTGAAGTCCTTATCAGCTGACTTTGTGCTAATGGATTGGAGTAAAGAGCAAAGTGTAACTAGCAAATGGGAGAGCTAGTTCCCTGTGCAATATCATTCTCCATCCTGCGTTCGGGCAGTGTAGGTTGTTAAAAAAAGGACTGTGTGAAGATACCACCAGAGAGGCCATACAGAGATCATGACCTGGTTCCTTTGTAATGGCTAACACTCAGAGACTGTGGGGTTAAGTATATCCAGCTCAACAAGTCATCCTATAGGAAAAGAAAATAAAAATGTCTCTGCGTTTTCTTGTGGATAACAATGGGATCAGATGTAAAGACAAGGGAATTTTATGTTTAAGTCTCCTGCTGCTCACATATTTCTATAAAATAGCAAAAAAAGCTCAGTAATCTCACACATTTCCACCTGAAATTTAGTAGAGATCTCATTAAACTCACACTCAGATGCTCAGATTTGCCAAGATAATAACACTCCTGTTTATCTGCAACTGACCTGAAGAGAGGAACTAAGTAAGTACTAAGTGAGTACCCAGTAAGCCATGCCAATACCCTCCATAGAGAGTAAACTGGAGATAGTATCCTTAGAACACATGCAGAAATGCAGTGGTGTGTGGGTCAATGCTTCTATCAGACCACACCTCAGTGCATAAAGAGTCCATAGCTGTAGGTAGGGCAGCGGTGATAAGGATGAAAGTTCATCTCACTGAGTTAGTACATCCACATGTCCTTCATCAGATGTGGTAACAGTGGGAGAGCTGACGCCTAACCAAATTTATTTATTCCACGCTTAATAAAATGTCCACCTTATTCACCAGTGCAGAGGACAAATATTGTATAAAAATAATAAGTCTTGTTTCTTATTTCATAGCCTACATAGGATCCTCTTATTTCATAGCCTACATAGGGTCCTGGATGCTGAGCGATGCATCCTAAAGGGTAGAATATGAGACTAAGCCAGCAATACAGGCTCTTGCTGTGTTACTACCTGTATTTTAACCCGAGGCACAAAGAAGAGAAGTTGTGGGCATCAACTTTTAGTGCACAAGCGGCAATAGCCTAATTACAGCAATTAGCAGCCTCCGTTACTGGCATATGTAAAGTATGGAACAAATAACACAACTGTTCTTTGAAAAGGAAACAATAGGGAGGATCCTGGGTGGAGCACACACACATGTCTAAAGGCTAGCAACCACTACATGACTACATTACAATCCTTACAGATTTTGAAAGTGGAGAGCATTTCCCACTTTAAACTTTCTTGTCTTTTTGTTGTAAGGCTGCACACACTGGAGGATTAGGCAAAGAGATCATTTCACACACATAAACAAGCTTGGCTATGAAAAGGCACACATAATTCCAAATCTGAAGGGAATGAGTGCTTTCCTGTTGCCATACAACACAAACAAAGCTTGAACTGAGTAGGTCAGGTTTGTGCTTTTATGGG